AAAACAGCAAATGGAATTCTTAGATGTCCGTTCTGTATGGGGAAGAAAAAACAGGACTACAAATATAAGGATTTACTCCAGCATGCTTCTGGAGTTAGTAAAGGCTCTAAGAACAGGAATGCTAGACAGAAGGCGAACCATCTTGCTTTAGCAAAATATCTAGAGAATGAGCTAGCTTCTGAAGCGGACCAAATACGGCGTCCAACTCCACCAGCTCCTATCAGTCGAGATTCAGAAAATGAGCTTTATGTGTGGCCTTGGATGGGAGTCATAGTCAATATATCAGTAGGGGAGGACAGAAAGTCGGTCTGCGATTCAGGGTATTGGAGACAAAAGTTTGCTAAATATAGGCCCTTAGATGTTTATACTTTTTGGAATGAGAAGGAATCCCATGCTCAGGCTGTAGTTGAATTCAATAATGATTGGAATGGTTTTGTGAATGCAACGGACTTCGAAAAATTGTTTGAGACCAACAATCATAGTAAAAAGAATTGGAAAACCAAAACAAATTCCAGCTTGGAAATTTATGGTTGGTGTGCACGCGCCGACGATTATAACTCAAATGAGCCTATAGGCGAGTTTCTTCGGCAGAGAGGGAAATTGAGAACCGTCTCAGACATTGTGAACGAGGCAACTCAAAGTAGGAATACGGTTGTGGAGAATCTTACACATGAAATTGATTTGACGAATAAAAATCTGGATGAACTACAATACAAGTACAATGAGAAGACAATGTCTTTAAGTAGGATGCTTGAAGAGAAAGACCAGCTTCACCATGCTTTTGTTGAAGGTTGTTCTTTTTTGTTTGTGTGGAGGGGATATATGCATGAGTGTTTAGTTTCCTCATGTTCTACTATATTTTCCTCAAGTGTACTATTATATTCACAACCACAATATGAACGAATGTTCAGTTACATAACTTCAAGTTCGTATTAAAATGGCTTGTCTCTAAACCTCCTCCCATAAAGATGATGATCGTATTTGTTAAGCATTTATGATTTCCCTAGGGCAAAGAGACTTGCAAAGAGGTCACCATGTGTCTATTTATGTTGCATAACTCTGATACTGTGCCATTTGATGTTTATGATTTGTCTTATTCGGTTCAGAAACCAGAAAGACACAGAGACTTGCACGAGATAATGTTCGGAGAATATTAGAAGAACAAGAAAAACTGCACCAAGAGTTGGAGACTAAGAAAAAGAAACTTGATTCCTGGAGTAAGCAATTGAACAAACGTGAAGCATTGACTGAACTTGAGAGACAAAAACACGATGAAGAGAAGAAAAAGGTGATATGAGGCCTCCTGGTTCACATCTTTACCCTGTTATTGTTCATGTTTCATACAATGTTCTCTCATGTTTAAGACGATCTGGGGCTTAGTAAGCATTAAGCTAATAGCTCGAACTTATGTATGTTTTACTATCAGAGATGTGGTTTACAATCATTTTTAATTTTTCTTGTTCTTCTAGAATGATATGAGGAACAATTCGCTCCAGTTGGCTTCTTTGGAACAGAGAAGAGCTGACGAAAATGTTTTACGCCTTGTTGAAGAGCAGAAGGTTTGTTCATTGTTAATTTCCGCTTTATTTTCTCGTTAAAAAGCAATGATTCAATATTTTTTTTTCATCCAGAGAGAGAAAGAAGAAGCTTTAAGCAAGATTCTGCAGTTGGAAAAGCAGCTGGATGCGAAGCAGAAGCTGGAAATGGAAATTCAAGAACTGAAAGGGAAACTGCAAGTTATGAAGCATCTTGAGGATCAAGATGATGTAGGAGTACAACAGAAGATGAAAGAAATGGATGATGATTTGAATCAAAAGGTTGAGGATTTGAACGATTTACAGGAGCTATATCGAACACTTGTTGCCAAGGAGCGTGAAAGCAACGATGAATTACAAGACGCCCGCAAAGAATTAATAACTGTACGTTCTCGTGCATCCCTTCTATTAATTATGATTCTCTCTTGATGCTCCAACTTATTCCTAATAGAAAAAAGAGATACAATCTTGACGTCGTGTACTCGTTTCTCATTGATCAATGATTTTGCTGTGTAGGGATTGCAAGATCAATCATCAAATGGCCGCCCTAATATTGGAATAAAGAGAATGGGAGATATTGATATTAAACCATTCCAAAACACTTGCAAACAGAAATTTTCTCCTGATGAGGCAATGGTGCAAGCCTCCACTTTATGTTCCTTGTGGCAGGATAGTTTGACTGATCCAAATTGGCATCCATTTAAAGTTGTTACTATTGATGGGGATTCCCAGGTACCTGAATATGTCTTTCTCATCATCCTTTTTGTAGATTTAAATTGTTTGAGGAGTGACCCATATTTCTTTAATAGTGCCTCGAATAACTTGAGGTTGGGATTACCTCCCTTCTCAAGTGTATTCAAGACGAAACCGAATAACACCATACTTTCGCATACTTCCCTTAATGCACGAATGCACGAATGCACAATTCCACTAAAGTGAGCTTTCAAGGTTTCTGCCTTCAATCATCTGTTTTTTTTAAATGGATGTTTTCTTCTAGTCTCTAGTCTATGGTCTTTCTATCCATCTATAGCTATTTTATTGTGAATCCTTGCCTTTACCTGGGTACTTGTCATGAAAACATGCCAAATAGACTTGGACATTATCCACATGGTACAAAAACAAACAGTACTGTGAAGCTACAGATCTCTAATTGATGGTCTTTTTTAGTTAAAAATTACATTGTGAACTATATGATGCATGGCAGGAGAATATTGATGAAGACGATGAGAAATTGAAAGGTCTGAAGCAGGAATGGGGCGACGAGATATACAATGCTGTCGTTACTGCCCTGAAAGAGATGAATGAATATAATCCAAGTGGTCGTTACTCCGTACCCGAACTATGGAACTTTAAGGAAGGAAGGAAAGCTACTTTGAAGGAGGTGGTCAGCTATATTGTTAAGAGTATCAAGTCTCTGAAGCGAAAGAGAACATGAGAGGAAGGTCCCTGAAGCAAAAGAGAATGCGTGAGGAAGGTGTTATCTCATCTTTTTTACTGTTGAACCCCAATTTTTTAAAAATTTCCTCACATAATCTTTTGTATGGGTTAATTTTCAAGTACTTCGGCTAATCTCATTAACTATGGGATCGAAAAGGTCGAGACGCCGTTTGGTTAAGGTTTTATCAATGTGCTAGACATTCATGTAGCGCCTTGGATATGGTTATGTGCTGATTGTTATTGAGTTTATAAATTTATATAACTGCATGATATTCACTTTTGTTTGTAGTATTGAGTCCAGAGGTAAGGACTTCATGCCAGGTGATCCAGTGAAGAAAATCTAAAGAAAAAAAGAACAAGAAAATCGGTATCTCATATCCCTCTACTCTTGACATCTTATATGTCTTTTGAATTATTTGGATGTTCTTCGACTCGTGAAATCTACTAGCTCTATTAACACCATTCAACAATTCATTGACAAAATTCATGACATATATATTAGGGCCTAAATAGAAATGATATGGTATACGAAGTGGTTTGTGAAACTCCATTAAGATATGCAAACTCGAATAAAAAAATGCAAGTGGCACCTCATACTCTTAAATTTAGTCATGTTCTTAGTATGCATGGAAGTATGATATAATAAAAAGGCCGTAGAAATTTGAGCATGAAATGAGCTGATTTGATGTATGTAAGAGCACGTTAAACGTTATGGTACACTGTTATCGAGAAAATGAACTCTTGAGCTTTGATTTGAACTAAATTAAATGTGTCTTTAATATGATACAAAGCACGTTATAGGAAACTTATATTAAGATTTGAGCATAGGATGAGCTGAGAATTATACATGTTGAATGTTATGATGTTCACTTATAGAGTACAAACTAAACTATGAACTAATTTGCATCGTGGGGTGACCTATAATGCGACTTGTCAGATATATTGGGTCATATGGTATTTCCTCGTTCTCTTCCCCAATCGAGATATGAGATTAATACTAAGTATCCATGTTAGGTCGCCATGCTATGTCTTCAGTTTATGTGTGTAATTTTAGCTGTTATATGGGAATAATTAAGGGTGCACCAACTAGCCCTTAATCGTGAACCTAATGCGATTGTTAGGGGTTCAGATAGCTATAGAACTGACTTTTAAATTTATAGACGATAATTTGTGAGGACTAGTGCTAGTAAGTTTGTGAGTTAGCTTTCCTATAGTGAGCTCGTCATGAGTAGCAGGGGTCCACAGTTGTACCTTGGAGTAACGATTAGAGGTTCGCCAACTAGCTCCTAATTGTAAACCTGACTCGATTTTTAGTGGTTGGGTAACTATAGAACTGATATACGATATTTTATGACATATGATTTGTGCTATGTGGAAATTATTAGAAAGTTTGCCAACTGTTGTTTGTCAGCCCGTTGTTCTTTATTGAACATGTCAGGAACAAAAAAGGTCTACAATTGTACTTAGAGTTGATTGAGCCTTAGCATGCATGAATCCTATGAGATTAATATCAAGGTTGCGCCTCGGAACCTAGAGCTATGATGATGACGACGATAGACTAGCAGAAAACAAACGACTAACTAGGAGACTTAAAAAGCTTTAGAAAAATTCAAGGGTAAGGAAGAATGAGTAAACTTAGGATATTGCCTACAAATGAACCCCCAAACGAGAATAAGATATTGAATGAATGAACTAACATCAATCCAACTTAATAATGAACTATGAGCTACCAATAATATGTTTATTGAGTATATTTTATATGCGAAACCCTGCTAATTCAAATTTTTTAGACGAGACATGACGGAGTAGTCGAGGTGGAGACAGACACGAGCTAGGGCTTTGCTCGTGTACTTTGAAGGATGTTTTTAAATTTAACTATAAATGCATGCGTTTAAAGGAAAGTTTTAAATTAAAGGTTATTTTCAAATGCGAGTGGTTACAATTTATTAAAAACTAAATATTATATTGTATAATTTTGTATTTTATTTATTTATTTATTTTTAATTGAAAAAACCAGCTCATCACTTTCTAGCTCTATTTCTCCCCGTTGGATAACAGCCCACAATCCCCCATTTTCAATCCCTTCCCAAGTCTCCTTCCTCCTCCTCCACCTCCGCCTCCGCCCATCGCCGGATGGAAGCTTCTCCGATATACTGTCTTCCCAATGACACTTTCCATCAGATCTTCCTATCCCTCCCTCTCCGTCAAATTATGATCTGCCGTTGCGTCTGCAAGCTGTTCGACCAAATTATCTCATCCCCTTTCTTCATTGACCTCATCTCCATCCGTCCCCCTCTTCACCTCATCGCCCTTCGGCCGCCGCATCACCACCACCACCACCACAGTCACGAGAGCCTCTCTGCCGCCGCCGCCAATTCTTCTCTCCACGTCTATGACCCTGATCAGAATCAGTGGCTTCGTTTCTCCCTCGATTTTTTGCCCTTTCGATTCCCTCACCCTGTCGCGTCCTCTCTCGGTCTTGTTTATCTCTGGGGTGACTCGCCGGAGTCTCCTGAGTCGAATAAGTCGCTTGTAGTTTGTAACCCTTTGACTCGCCAGTTCCGGGTCTTGCCGCAGCTCGGCTCGGCCTGGTCCCGACATGGCTCGGTTTTGGTTGACTCTGCTAATAGAGTAATGGTTTTGACGGAGCTTGCGGCTCTTTATTTCTCTGGGTCGAATCAGTGGAGTAAATTCTCTTCTAACCTGCCTTCGAAACCTCGAAGCCCTGTGTTGGTTTCTAACTCGGTTTATGCTCTTTGTGATGTGGGTTCTCCGTGGAGAAGCCAATGGAAGTTGTTTTCTTGTACTATTACTGATCTCAAGAGCTCCCAGAATTGGGGTCGGCTTGAAAGGCACGAATGGGGGGATGTTTTTGACATTTTGAAACGGCCTCGTTTGGTCCGAGGGACGGGGAACCAAATCTTGATGGTGGGTGGGCTCAAATCGTCGTTTTCGTTGACTGCTTCGTGCTCGACGATTCTGATTTTAAGGTTGGATTTGGATACATTGGAGTGGGATGAGGCGGGTCGTATGCCTGTTCAGATGTTTCAGTGCTTTCAAGGGTCAAGTAAGTTTAAGGTTTTTGGTGGTGGTGATCGGATTTGCTTTTCGGCGAAGAGAATGGGGATGATGGCATTGTGGGATTGTTGTTCTGGAAAAGCAGAGTGGCGGTGGATATGTGGGGTGCCTGGATATAGCGATGGGCTTTACAGAGGATTCGTGTTCGAGGCAAGGTTCACGGCCCTGCTGCCTTAAGTTGCCTGCCTAGACGTGGTTTGCTTGCTAAGTAAAATTAGTGTCGGTAAGCTTGCAAACAAGTTATTTATCTGGCAATCTTTACATTGAATTTGATGACCCTAGCTGTAAATTGCTGCGTTTGTTGGGTTTTGGTAAGCATCTTGCAACCGTGCAAATGGCAAATGCCGTAAAATTTTATGGAACCTTTTAAACTAAGATTTATGAATCCTTCCCTTGTAGATAACCGTTATTAAGCTGGTGAAGACAGTTATGAGATGGTGCTTAGCCTTAGAAAGTTTGAATGGTAACTTTGTCCCTTATTTGCTTAGATTTATGTGCACCGAAAAGAAATTTCGTTAAACTTGAGATGGAAAGCTTCATGCTGGTTCTATTTTTCTATCCTAATACATCCCGACAGATATTGTTGGTAACTACACAATGTTGTCCTTCGTTGATTAGTGAAGGAGCAAAAGTTAATCACTTCCATCCTCTTAATGAGAACAGTAGGGGTAAGGAGGGACACAAATACAGACACAACACATGGATAAGACAAGACAGATACAATGATATGAATTTCTAATATAGGAGTAAGTGCGCACGCACTTGGGCACTATTATTTATTTTTTATGTATACAAATGTGTATATGTTGACATGTGGTTGAAGCAACCGTCTTTTAGCATTCATTTGGAGGGCTGGGGGGACTAGGATGGCTTTTGTATGCTTTCATGCTCAAGCATAAAGCTTTAAAGGATCTTCTTAAGTTTGCAAATAAGGAAGTGTTTGACCATGTGCAAATAAGGAAGTGTTTGACCATGTCATCAGTCAATTAGCCTTGCTGATTGAAAAAGACAAGGACATCAATGTCATGGAAGAGAGCTAACTCCTTGTTGTTTGAAGAAGCCCTCCACTTCAATTGGTATTTTTTCACGAAAAGACCATGCCATCAGTCAATTAGCCTTGCTGATTGAAAAAGACAAGGATATCAATGTCATGGAAGAGAGCTGGAAACTATAAATGATCGTTATGAAAAAGATGCAAGGTCCTCTTGTTGGAACTTTTGGATATCTTGACTAAGGAGGATATCTTTTGGTCCTAAAGATTAGATACTTGTGGCTCAAGATCAGAGATGAATGCTCTTTTTTGTTTTTGGTCTTTTTTTGGGATGAGAAACAATATCATTGATGGGAGAAAAATCCTGATTCGAAGGAGATACCAAAGATTTCTTCATTGGGACAAAATAGATACAAAAGTATAAGACTTAGAAAAGAGAGATCATTTTATACCAAGAAATAGCAAAGCATGTAATACCATCCTAAAGATGGTCAAAATGCCTCTCCTTTCTTCAATAGGTTCTTTGGTTCATTCAATCCAAGTGACCCAAAAGAAAGCTTTCATAAAGTTGACCTAAAGGTGCTTCTTCTCCATCTTGAAAGGTGACCTAATAGAGTGGATCCAAAGAGGTGATGGGCTTGTTGTGGGTGAGGTGTCGACCAATCAAAGATGTGCATAAGATCGTTACAAAAAGAAAAGGCGAAAGAATAAGTGTGTAAGATCCCTCGTTACTAAGATCATTTTAAGCATCTGTACTTGTCTAATTAGAGATGGATAAATTGTGCTAAAATTTTCCTCTCCATCTTTTTTTTTTTTTTGTATGTTATAAGACAAAGATGAACGATTTAGATTCTAACTCAAGGGCCATTTTGATTTCCTTGTTCACCATTCATAGAAGTATTTTAGAGAGAGAATTGAGGAGTTCCTTCTCCATCCTCCCTTTTATGAGAGGGAAAGACTTTTTGAGACATGTTGGGGTGTGTGTTGTTTTGTGGGGCCAGTGGGGAAATAGGAATAATTGGGTATGGAGAGAGCTTGAAAGGTCTTCAAGTGATGTTTGGGCCTATATTAAGTTCAACGTCTTTTTGTAGACTTTGGTGGCAAAACCATTTTGTTACTATCCATTAGGTCTTGTTTTACTTGATTGGAGACCCCTTTTTTAGTTTGTCACATTCTCCTTTTTTGTGGCTCTTTTTTTGCATGCAATGTGTCACGATCATGCTTGTTCAGGACGTGTTTCTCATGGTCGTATGCCCGTTCCACTCCGTTTTTACCTTGCTTTCATTGTTTGTTTTTCATTTTAGCATAGTTGTTTACTTTCCTTATATTTTTGTTGGTGTATGACACCTTGCCTCATAATGCACTATGTGGGTATGACTATTTGTCAATCCTTCCTACCGAGAGTTGTACGCAATGAATGCTGTTATTATCCTTAATTGCTTGCTAGCTTACGACAAAAAACATTTTCCAACACCTTTTCTCTAACATTCTTTTCTTAACTCGTTTTCCTAGAAAAGGGGTGGAGGTTGTGAGATAGGCCCTTTGTACCATCAACAATCCAAAATTCGAGTTGGCTGACTTCTCAAGAGCGAAAGTAAGTGTTGTCCTTTGTAAGTCTTGAAGAAGTGCGATGGTGACAACATGCTTTTGTATTCTTTCATTTTTTTTTTTTTCCTCAATGGAAGTTTAGTTATTCATCAAAAAGGAAGAAAAAAGAATTTATGGAGTAGGATGTCTTCGATGGAATCACTAGTCTTCAAATACCACGGCTCCCGACCCTCATGGTTCCTCTTCTAAATTCTTGAAAAATTTGCACAACACCTACATGTTTGAGAGCATGACGATGTTCTGTATTTTTATTTTTATTTTTGCAGAAAGACATCTCTAATGCCATTATCAACTAGGGGTTTTCTCTCTTTTTCCCCCAAAAGTGGATACCAAAAATGTTAAAGATTACACTACTAACTAGTGGTCCCTGTAAAACCGTGACTAAGGTGATTGTTGAGAGGATGAAGGCAATTTTGCCTCAAGTGACTATTGAACTTGAGATGCTTTTGTAAGAAATCTACAATCGATATACTCCATTGAAATGGCCGATAAAGCTGTTGAGGATTGGAAAAGAAGAAAAAAGCTATGGAGTTATTATAAAACTTGACGTCGAAAAAGCTTACAACCTTGTTGATGGAGAATATTTGAATGGTGTTAGGAAAGCATGAGGACACATTTTCTTTATATGTATGAAGGATCATCTTGGGGTTTGGATCAAGGAAGTGTTTGACCACGTCCATTGAAAAGCCGCGGTGACTTAAAAATCAAGGGTATTGATGTCATGGAAGAGAGCTGGGAATCACAAATGACTATTGTGATGCATGCAAGGCCCTTTGGTTGGAACTTTTGGATATCACGAACAAGGTATCTATTGGTCCCCAAAGATTAGACACTGAGCAAGGATTACACGAAAGATCATAAAACTAAAAGCTTAATTTTCCAATAAAGAAAGGAAACGAAAAGATTGAACAAGCCTTTTGAGTTTTCAAGTGGGCTGTTTGGGGAGTTGTGTTAAGATGGTGAGGTTTGTCATTTTGGTTCTTTAGTTGGAATTAGTGGCATAGGTTAGGGATAGTCTTGTTCTAAGGAGGCATGGTTCAAGCGTCTGCTGGGGAGTTGTCCTGGTTTCAACTAATTTCAAACTCACAAGTAGATGTAGATAGTAAAGAAGGGGGGATGTTCTTGCTGTAAGGACGTTGAGGTTGATTTTTCCTTTGATATTGGGGAAGTCATTTTATTTGTAAGTGTATGATAACATAGCTCTTCTTTTGGTTGCTTTGTCAGTCTCCTTCCATACGTACATTGCATGTGCAGAATAAGCTCCCTTAATTTGGTGAAGGGTTTCTTGATGGGAAGTGACAAATCACTCTCAATCATCTCAAGCTTGTGAATGACATCTTGATTTTCAGCTAAGAAGAGGAAGAGAAGTTCGGAAGTGATTCAGAGCTAAAATCAATTGGGAGAAGACAACTATCAATGGCATAGAGATAGATCCTAATTCCGTTCTATTCATTGTGAATGACATCTTGCTTTCTATTAAGCATTCACTAATTCCGTTCTATCCATTGTAGCTTTCTTATCGAATCCACTGCCAGAAGGCAACGCAAAGATTGTTTGTTTGTTGGCAAGTTAAGGACTCGAGCACTCCCAACTTGAGGTAATGAATTCCACAATTTCTCAATGAAAAAATAGATGATTGAGGCTTTCTTCTACTTGAGCTTATGATGATTGGGCAAAGGGCACCTTGTTTGGAGTCTTCCAGCCAAGTTTAAGATTTCCATTAAGGCTAACTGGATTATGATATCAACTAACATTTCTTATTCTAAAGACGAAAGAATTCGAATTCATCACAGAAGAATTTTACTTTTCAAATTGTTGAAATGATTTGTGTCTTCTTTTGTTGTTGTTGGATGTCAGAGCTAGAATACAAAATATAAAAGTTGAAGCTGGATTGTGGTGAGCTGCCCTTCAAATATATTGTGAAGGATCTGAGAACAGATTCCTGCTTGGGGAATAGATTCTAGCATGGCTCGGCTTGACTTGACTTGACTTGACTCGAATTATATGGTTTGCAATGGAAGTTTTTAGTGAGCCCAGAGGCTTCTGAGAGGCGACGAGGGAGAATTTCTAAGCTATTTGGGTGGGCATCCTGCATCTGCTTCTTTCAGGCAAATTATAAAATGAAAGCTTTGATGAGAGGTTTAACCACATAGATTAATTGGCATTTATTGGCATCTCTTGGCATTGGCTTTAGTTGTTGTATACATGTAGATATGCCACGGAAGTTACTGATCGTTCATATACATCTATTACCAAATGATATGCAAGGAATTAAATTTGATGGCGCTTGATGTTCGATCATAATCTTATACATTTTTTATTCTTGGTTAGAGTCCGAGCTTTAATTTAGAGAATATGAATGTTCTTTTTCATTAAGCTTTACATGACAAACTTAAAGATCGATGATAGTGGCGTTGAGACTCGACTTGGGAGTTCTCACGCCCAAAACACATGTGCCTTCGTGTTTTCGTTTGACATACTCAATTCTGTTTATGTACTTTATGCATTAGGGTACACAATGTCAAGACGTGTCTAGCATCTTGACTGCCTTATTTTTGTAAATACATCATTTCCAACTTTAGAGAGAAAAAAAGTCTACTTTTGCTAATAGATTTTTTTTTTTTTTTTTTACCTTAATTTAGTCTCCAATGGCCAAAACCTACTGATTAACTCCCAATTACAAAATAGTTGACTAGTATCACACAATATGGTTGTGGTACATAGTCATAACAAAAATCTATTAAAGCCTATAGGTAGGTTATTGAGTATTTTATATTCACTCTTAGTTCATGTATTTTGTGAGGTAGCAGTTCATGGTAGACGTACGTAGGAGTTGTGCAATTGTAGTAGATCCTAGATTTGTGTCTTGTAGTCGAGCGTGTTTTTGGTTTTATAAAAAGCGTGTTTTTGGTTTTATATTTTTATTTGAATGAATTTAAACGAATTTAAACCCTTTTGTACTTAACAAATCCGAGAAATGTACAGTTGAATTGGGAATGTTTTATCAAATTTGATGTGTTTTCTATTTAGAGTGTTTTAATTTTCTTCTTATTATCCCTTATTTTGAAAATAAAAAACTTTACGAGTGTTCCAAATTCGGTGTCAGAATGTTATAGCATGTGATTTGAAGCATCGTGTGTTACACGTAGTCGAGATATTGACCCTAGCAACTCAACTGGGAAGCTGATACACATAATTTTGGTGTGAAGTTGGGGTGGGAGAACATAACCTAATGTGAAAATTTAGTCTGTTTTAAGAGTTGGAAGAAGCTGATGGATGCTAAAAATATTTTGAAGTTGAAGTTAGTGGAAATTGCAAGGGGATTGGGAGAACATTACGGGACATTGAAGAAGAACTTTAGGCAGGCGGAAGCCGCCATTGATGGGAAAGCTTGGAGGATTTTGACCGGGTCACGGAATAGGGGTAGGCAACGAAAAAATAATTAAAAAAAAAAAAAGAAAACAAACTTGTTGAGAGTGGGATTTGAACCCACGCCCTTTCGGACCAGAACCTTAATCTGGCGCCTTAGACCAACTCGGCCATCTCAACGTCTTTGGACTCTGAACCATAAAAGTAAAATAAAAAACAAAATAGCCAAATCCTTTTGGATTATAATAATTTTATTCTCAAAATATATGTTGTTAGCTATATGCATTGTTCAAGAAAATTTCAAACCTTACATTTTAACATATTTCAATTATATTGTTTTTTTTTGTTGAAGGTTGAAATTGACTAAAGTTAACTTGAATGATATAATACTAAGTGGATTGACATAAATTTGAAATTAAAAATAATAATAATGTAGGGTTACTTTTTTAAAACACTTTAGGCTAATTTTCACTAATTCCTTTCAGCCATTTTTTGTATTTATAATTCCTAGTTTGTTCCCAAATTCTCTCTCCTTTGAACTTACTAAGTATTATACAATTCATTTGAACATTCATCCATAACAAGTCTAAATAAAAAATATTAAGGCATAAGGGGCTAAAATAAGATCTCTTACACAGTAGAGTTGAAAGAACACCCAAACATTTGCTACCAACACACATTTATCCCAACTTTCTTCTAATTTTACCCTAATTCATAAAGAAGGGCTTTGCTGTTTTGGGATCAATATCTAACTACAAGTATAAACACTATAATACAAAAATGGGAAAGGATGGGCATCTCATCATTTAAACAATGATGAATCAACAACTGAAAATTCCACAAAAATCGTCAATCCAGCAGACTATGGAGCCACAAAATTAACTGCAATGGTTCAAGCAAGTATTTTGATCAGAGTTGCCAATCTATGGCGTCAATACCCAGTTCCTTGAGAAGCACGTTTGTTCGAGAAAAATGCCTGTAGAAAATCAACAATTGGCAGTAAACAATCTTGATGAGAGACAGCATTCCAAGGGAAATGAAAAGGCATCCATCAACTTTGCCTCATATTAGTGAATTACTTGAAGCATTTTCTCCCTTATCTATAAACATCTATGTTCCGTAAGTGTTTTCAAGTCTTTGAGAATTCTTATTATCATTTTTTAATATGAAATCAAAACTATAAAAAATTTCAAAGAAGTTCGTTTCGGTTGGCTAAAGATGTTTACCACTAATCAAAAAGTCATACCAAATTGACCATATGATTATAATCACATATAAAATCGAGCCAAAAAGTGCTCCAACTAAAGAAGTTTGATCTTAGAGAAAAAAGGCAGAGAACCAAGTGTTCTGTATATACACAAAATACCAAGTGGCATACTAGCAAATGTTGTTATTGTAAGAACCATATTGAAGGGAAATGATGAAGTACAAAGGTGTGAGCAAATCCCAATTAATATTTGAACTGGAAGGTTTAAAAAATTTATAATGGAATTAAACAATGGAACTAACCTGCAACCAAAGAAGCCTCTGTTGGCCGACAAACCAGAAGGATGCGCGGCTTTGAGAATGTGATGTTTTTTCTCATCAATTAACCTGTTCATACATCAGATTCTATGTGAAGTTAATTATCAAGACAATAGAACCTAAGCTGTTCTAAGCTAGATAAAGTAAATGAAAATTGCACCATGCTGATTTTAAAGCTCAGCAAAACCATGTTTTCTCAAATAGTTTCCTGTTCTTCACAGGAAAAGTTCCTATACTCGTAAGCTTAGAGCCTGCATAGCAAGATATGTACCAAATGACTACTAAAGTAAAGTATTTACCACACATCCCCTAAAATGTGGGTGTGGCCTTTATATTTGCATGAGATATGTGAGTTATTAATATGAAATGCAATTGAGCAATATAAGGAATATTACCAGTGGCATATCCATAGTAATTTAATAAGTTCGTCAAAGTTGAGTGGTTAGCCTCTCAAATTAATTTTCCTTTCTAATTTGGTAGTAGCTATCATTAATTTCTACCATAACAATCCAATCAACTTGGCATTAAAGCAATTCAAACTTGAGGATTCAGAGTCTAGGAGAATATGCTGACATTGCAGAACATTTTAGAAGAAATGATGAGCAAACTTGCAGCGCTTAGATAGAAGAAAAATTATCAGATGAGAACAGCACTCCAGGCTGTGGAATAGGGGCGATGGTTGTGGGAAATAATCCAAATTCAAGAGGGTGAAAGTCATATTAGAGAGGTAAAACACACACAGAGACACGCATGCCTGAAGGTCTTAGAGTTCATGGAGGAAAGCAAGAACCAATTTGCTGCTGAACAAAGAAAAAGATGCACAAGAGTCTTACTCTAGCAAATGAACCCAAGAGTTCTACTCTCGCTAATGAACCAACGAAACCACAAAGCAGCTAAAAACAAACACACCTAATAGCATGCAGGAATTACAATGTTTTCTTACTCTTGACCCTACTGCTTTTATGATGCAGAGAATTCGTGATTAGGTCCAATCCAAGGCCAAACAAGAAATCCATTCCATTAGTTGAGAGAACACTCCAAAATTAAAGTTCTATTTCAAAATAATATTCAAGAGTTTCCTCACAATCCTAAAACGTGGCTACTTATAGGCTTGCAATACAATTAACAAACGAGTTAAATGCAAAATAATAATTTAAAACTAATGAGTCCGAAGTTAACTTAACAACTAAACTAATAGTAACTAAGTTATATTGAGTATCTAACATCACCCAACGTAGAAAAAAGACCTATCCTCAAGTTTGAGGTTACAAAAATGAAGACTCTCTCCTCTGCTCTTTTGAGTGTGGTAACCCTCCAATTGAAAAATCTTGGTGCAAATTTTTTCCGAATAGAGACTAGAATTTAATAATACTCCATGAAAATCTCTCGAAAATGAAGTGGAAATTAGGCTTTGAGTGACCAAATAATGGGCTCAATGCTATAGTCACAATGGTCTCACGTAAGTTTCTGATTAAAAATATACAAAGAACGTTCTGTTTTCACATTTCTTTGCATCAACGCCACAATGTCTCCACTTTCTTTCTTTCCTTTTTTTCCTGCGTTGTAATGTGCCCCTCAAATGACGTTGTGGCATCGTAAACGTTCCTCTCCGACAAAGCAGCATCCTAATACGAAGATGCAATGTTCAAAATAAACCCCCTGACAAAGCTGTAGCAGCAAAATCTTTCCCCTCCAATAATGCCACAACATCTAGCATCTTATTTCCTTGTCTGACAACATCAAGCTCTGACAAATTGGTCACCTCTGATGAACCAACAGCCTCTGACTAAATTGTAGCATTCAACAACTCTATGGCGATCAAAACAAATCTCTCTGACAAAGCCCAACAACAAAGGTTTCCCCCTCTAACGATGTTGCAACATCTAGCATAGTATATTCTTGTCCGACATCGAGTCACTTTCATTCTCCTCTTCTTTTTTGACTTCCTCTTTTAATCCTTGTCATTTCCGACTTCCTCTTCATCTACCTTGTCTTTTTCAATGTCTTTTGATTATTATATCATCATCGTTTTCTTCAACTTCTTTAATGTAACTATCTTCGACTTCTCATCACTATCATTTGCTTTGTCTCTGCCCTTGTAGTTAGTCAGGCTGATTTGGAGGGAATTTGTTAATGGTACACAAAGAGCATCTAATCTTTGCAAAGTTGTCGAAGTTGACTATGAAATTAGTTGAGAAAGTGTGTCGTTTCTTGTTTTTTGTTTGCTGAAACATTGGTTTGGATGGGCTATGATGATAGTGGGTTGATGAATATGGTGGTGGTAAATACCTAGACGAAGAAACAAATTCTAGGAGTCTACTGGGGATCAATTTGAGTGGGATTATCCATTGTAGGACATTGGAAGAGAGATAGCCCTCTCGAAAAGCTATTGTTACATTGTGACTTATTTGAATACTGCAATATATTACTATCTTGTGTCATCTTTTGAGTTTCTGTGTATTTTCAGTGTTTGGGTACCTAACAGCTAAATCATGGCCAAACAAAGGAAATTCATTCAAAAGTTGAGAGAACACTCTAAGAACAAAGTTCTATCTATAGGTACCTAACAGCTAAATTACGGCCAAACAAGGAAAATTCATACTAGAATTTGAGAGAACACTCTCTAAAAACAAAGTTCTATTTTCTTCTTAAAAAAGTCATGTTTCAAATTAATATTCAAAAGCTTTTTTATAATCCTAAATGGTGACTATTTATATCCTTACAATAAAATTAACAAGCAACGAATCAAAGCTAACATATTAATCAAATACTAGTTAATCTAAAAGTTAACAGCTAGTTCTATGGTGCTTTATGAACTTCTTTTGGAGTTCACTATACACAGGCAATCGACCAAGCATAGTCTCACACCTACTAATGTTTCTAGAAGGATATTTTAGGAGAATTTTTAGAAGATTTTTGAACTTGTATTCCTTTTAAGCTTTCTAGAGTAGGTTGGTCATTCTAAATAATATTATATTATTTAGAGAATCTAGGTTGGTTTTTGAACTCCTTGGCTATATAAACCCAAGTGCTCCTCTTATTTCAACAGATTGAAGTTGAAGCCTTGTGTTTAGGATCGTATGTTTTTTGGCATTCAAGCTTGGTTGGTCACCAAACTTGTGGAGTGTTTTAGCCTTGAGATAGGAACTAGTTCGCTTAACTCTTGGCCTTTAACCAAAGGTAAATCCATTCAAACCTTTACCTTGAGTTGATCCAACTTGATGCATAGGTGTTCAAGCTTGCGTCTGGTGAACCCCAAGGCAAGTTCATAGAGTACCATGTCAACTAGACTAATATTAACTAAATTATAGTAATTATCTAATATTTCATCCTACATCACTTCATCTATCAAAATACATCAAGTCTTCAACTGAAAGTCCTTGGTCTTTATTTCCTGTTCCCAATTAAATTTGTAAAGCCAGATTCTGATCAATATATGAAATTTATATAGAAGAAGCAAAAATTTTAACCTCAAGTTCACTGATTTTCTTTTCTTCAACAAGAAAAATCTAAAGGCCGTGTTCAATTATTACTTTGGTTCTTTCCAGAGTCATGCACTCCCTGTTAGAACTAATATCATACTATAGAAGTACCTCAATTTCGCTTGAGCAGAGTTCCCCCAAAGGAGAAAGACAACCCCTTCCTTATTTTGTGATATTGTCTTGATGACAACATCGGTGAATTGTTCCCATCCTTTTTTAGCATGAGAGTTGGCTTGATGCTTTCGAACTAAACAGGAAAACCCAAAATATTTATCAATAAGTAAATGCAGGAAAGCATGTATCGTTACTAAAAGCAAAATAATGTAAAACCCTTATTAATACATGGGAACAAACAAGAAACTTCACCCTTCACAGTGTTGATTCTAGCAGTGGATTCCTTCGAGTGTCTATCAAAGTCTTGTGTTTTCAGTTCTTTTTGGTTTGGTGATCAATTTTGGAAAGGGCGCTTCGGCCTCGTCTTTGGGTCTGATGTTATTAGCTTTTATAATGGCTATTTTGAGGGGCTGGAGCGTTTGTTAACTTGTTCCCCAAGGGCTTCCATTGCAGCAATGTTATGTTAGTACTTTATAAAGATTGTTGTCGAAGATCACCCATTTGGAGGCTTTCTGCTGTTTTTCTCCCAGGAAAGGTGGCAGTTTATGAGCAAACTTGGGAAGATTATAATTTTTCTTTAGTTGTAGCTAATCTCGGCTTGAACAGTTAGCTACTGGAAATGGCTATATATTAGCGCAGTTGCTCTTTGTGACGGTTTGGTGATGTTTGATGAGTTTTTGGTTCAATGTTATAGATGTTGCCGATAGCATTACAGTTAGCTATTATCTTTTAAGCTGGTAGCTATTGAAATTTTTTTTAGATGGTCAAAAGCAAAACTCATCAATGAAATATTTGTTTAAAAACAATCACAAACAACATATCAAAGCATTATACATATTACCTCACCCTTCACTTTACTGATTTTTAAAAATGGAAGCACATTGATGAAGAAGGTGTAGAACTTAAGGTGGAAAGAAGATTATTACCTGTGAGAACAGCATTAAGCAACAAGACTCCCTACAATGTATATAAAAATCAATTTAGACAACATAATAGTGAAAAAGACACTAGATAGAACTCTGACTACATTCTTACAAAATAATTTTTTCAGATCACAATAACTAATCGTGCATTTTTCCACGCAGAAAAGTTCTCCCGAATTGATCAACTTATCCTTTGAAGCCAAACAAGCCCAGATTCATACGAGTAATGTCATGAAAAACTTCATTTAGAATCCTTTGCCAATATGAATTACTAATTGTATGATCCAATCTCTCAACTTAGAGAAGTCACCTAATTACAACCCAAATTTCCAACTTGAATTAATGACTTTAAAAAATATATATATTGAAACCAGCATAGCTTATTAGTTATCTTTGTGTTCTTAATTCAAGAAAAGGCACCCGATTTCAGAAAATATTTTTTCATTCCCTTAGCAGTCACCAAAATCCGAACCTTGTGATGAACCATATCTATTATATAATCCATCTATCCCAAACCTATATTTACATATCTTTCATCTAATGAAAAATAAGCAAGATCTTCATGACATATACTTTAACCAAATCAAACAACTAGAACCTGCAAATAAAGATTAAGTGTAGTCAGAACTGTGCCCTATTTTCCATGATGAAAATCTCTTCAACGCAAATTTTAAGACTATTCTAAGCAAACGAAGTAAAGACCAAAAGCATAAAGGCAAACATATGAAGACAATGGTGGGTACCATTTCTGTAGCCCCAATATATTAGAAGTAGCTACATCTAAGTATGCATTTCTAAGTATTTAGAATAAAGAGATGAGTGCCAACAGCACCTGAACAGCCCATTTCTCGAGATTTCCATGGGATGGGATGGAACAACCAAGATCTTCCCTCAGTTCCTTGAATATGTTGAGAAGACTTGATGGGATTTTAACTCCTTCAGGAACAGAAAAAGAAAGACCCATAGCTTGACCAGGCCCATGATAAGGATCTTGACCGAGAATAACAACTTTCACCCTATCGAAAGGGGTAGAATTCAGAGCATTAAAGATCAAAGAGGGAGGAGGATAAATAGGGACACCGCTGCTGCAAATCTCCGTCTCTACGAACTTGCAGAGGTTAAGAGCATAGGGCTTATCAAACTCTCCGGGAAGGGCTTCGAACCATGTCTCATCCACCAAAAGCTCCTCCAACTTCACACATCCATTCTCCCATTTGGAAACCCTATCAGAGGAAATTTTGAGATTGCGCTTCGATCTGGCCAACCATTTGTTGGTTTCCATGCGGGATTTCTGAGAGGAAGAGATGTCCATCGAAGAGGAAGCCAATGTGAGCTCTGAATCGCCTTTCTCGTCCGTGGTAGCAAGGGTTTTCAGCGTCTGTGAGGTTTTTATGCGTTTGGAAAGCGCTGGCTGGAAGATGTCGATTAGGGTTCTGGTTTTGGATTTAAGTGAAGCCGAGGAGGAAGCCATTTTGGGTCTGGTTGCTCCAGTAGAGTGGAGGTGGAGCAGGCTTTAATGGCGGGAACCAACAGAGAATCCGCTAAAACCTTTCCACTCTCCCCGCTTGTTTGAAATTTGATCGTATGCTATGGGATATGCGTCACTCCAATTAAAAGAAATTATGTAATATTAAAAGAATAAAGAATATATATTTGACTTTGTACCTTATTTAAATAAAAAAACTTCCAATTATTTTAATAATACTTTTAAATTTTTAAAATAATTATTAAAAATACAACTTCAAAAATTTTGAATTTGAGGTCTAATAGGTTTTAATAATATGAACTTGAAAGGTGTATTTTAAATTTTTTTATTTTGTTTGTAGCAAGTCATTAAAATTTTAAAAAAAAAATGTCTAATATATCTACCGGGCCATTAATTTTCATTTCAATCTGAATTTTAAATGTCTGTCAGTAATTTCTTGGCCTATTCAATATTTTTTAAATTATAAATTGAATAATCTCACCGTTAAAGACCATTAAATTTTAAATTTAATAGATTAATTATTTTTTAAATATTTTAAATATGTCATCCTCATATCATATCAATGAAACAATCTTTTAAAAAGAAAGTCACAACCATCCGTTGATCACTCATTCGCGTGCCATCGTAACTAATAAATATAATAACAAAACCAAAAAATTAGGTCATTCCATAAACTAAAAAAAACATGAAATTTTATAATACATACCTCATTTATTCTACGTGAACAACAACATTTTATTTCTATTAGAAATGTTTACTGGAGAATCCAATCCACGGAGCTACCTAATTCAAACCATAAAAATTGCGCTTGAATTAATAATAGGTTACGTCCAACAAAATCTTACCCTACTTTTAGATTAGCACCAAAAGTAAATAATAATATTTAAGTTTCATGAGATTTGAGATTTGAATTTTATGAAATTATAATATTTTAACTAATAATATAACACGTAAATAATATAATATTTTTAAATAATTAAAAAAAAATCTTATCTTATAAAATGTAACACGTAAATAATATAGTATTTTTAAATAATAATAATAATAAAAAAAGAACCTTGTCTTATAAGCTCTATTCGAGTTATTCACGTCACCAAGCCAACCAACTAAAAAAAGATTTTTCAACTAAGCTATGAGCTATGAATGTTTGATGAATTTAAACCAAATTTGGTTTACCAAATGAATCCTGTTGACATCCAAAATTAACATGTATTAGAAACTCACGAATCAAATCCGTATTTCACATGGAGAAAAGGGAGAATGGGAGTAACGTAGGTGTACAAGATTTTGTTCCTTTTCCCATTTGAATTCTCTTCCCACATATTTGGGCCACTCATTTCTTCGCAAGAAATAGAAAAGCATGCGTGTGGGTCTACAATTGCAAACCAAACAAGTGGTTCAAATTTATCTCCAACTGAAGCGATTAAACAAATTCGAAACCACATCCTTTAATAATCCTCACTCAGATTCTTCTTTCTCTGCTTCCGATTCGGCTCTCAATCCTCCGATTATCCTCAAGGTATGTTTATGTACAATTTTTCCGTTCAAACCAACGGCGATGTTCTACTCCTCTACTTTCCGATTTCAGTTGCCCTAATTTCTCCAGTCAAACCGATTCACTGTTCTTGCAGATTATGACGAGCGTAACGTTCGGTCACCAGAGTAATTGGTCGCCCGGGATTGGGATTCAGGAGCATCTAGGTAGAGCAAAGATTTCTAGAGTTGCGCATTCATATTCGGAGTATTGTTGTCCATTTCTTCCTTCCAGAGAAACAAGCACTCACCATGGGAATCATGTTGCTTACTGTCGCCGACGAACTGGACGGCAAATTAGACCTGTTCTTGCAGGTTCCGTCGACGGTGCCATGGATCCTGATGAGTCCGATCGTGAGATTAACGACAGTGAGAGTCCCAAACCTGAAAATGGAGGGGTTAGTACTCAATCCCACATAGTTTGGATTCAAAAGAAAGAAAAAAACTCAATTATAGACTACTACTTGAGACTTGCATGAAGTTGAAATCAGAAATTATAGACCTTTAGATTTGGATTCTAATAAATTTTATAGTAATCACGAGTGTGTAGTACGTTGATAAGTGATATGTCTGATGACTTGCAAGAGAAAATAAATTGACTTAAAATGTAATTTTGCACCATCATGGCATCATTTCTTCTTGTGGAGACTCATTTTAGTAATTTATGTTCTTTCAGATGAACTTCGAAATGCTTAGGGAAAACTTGGAAAGATCGGTTGGGACGGATGATTCCAGGTTTAGTGGGATTGACTTAGCTACTATTATCAGAAATAAGTATGGCAAGTCTTACGATGTTCAACTGATAAAGAAGGTATTCATCTTCCATTACTAAACTTCTTACTATTCTTTGATTAAATTACAAATTCAAATGTAGGTTTGTGTTAAATAAGTTTTTGAATTTTAGACAGTTCAATGAGTCTTTAAACTTCTAAAATTATGTCTTATGGGTCATTAAACTGTAAAAAAACATATGATAAGTTCTTAAACTTTTATGGAAATGTCAATGAAAATGTCATTTCAGTAAAATGACGATATCAATGTCGATAGACTTTTCTTGAAACATAATAAAAACATAAACATCTAAAATTATTTAAATTAATAAACAAGTATTTTACAATGCTTATTATTTATTTTATATTACTGTTAGCGACATTTTTTTTCAGTGTATGTTCATCGATTTTTTCACGATGTAATGGAAATGTCGCTTTACCCTTTGTGTGGATATCGAACCCATGAATATGTAGAAATATCTACATGCCAATAGAAATTTAATACCCTGGTCATATAGTCACTATGGTCTGTTCACAATTCAAACTAAATTATGGATTTCTTTTCTTGTTTCTGTCATAATTCAGGAGTTCATGGGACGAAATCTTCTTGCTTTAAATGTCATGTGGAAATACAGAGAGCAGGTACGCAAGAATCCAGTCTTCTCTGCTACTTTTAGACTAAAATCTTTTATCAACTGAGATACTTTTCAAAATTAGGGGAACCTGTCTATGAATTATAACATCTGAAAGCTGATGAAGAGCATTTTCCTAAATGGACTATTAATTCTAACCTCACAATTGAACTAATCTGAATTATTAGGAAATTGGTAGGAAAATTTCGAGTACTATGGGAATAACATACTCCCTTTGTTCACACTATGGTTTTGTCTTTATAAATAATTTTTTTAATATTGGTGGCTCCCACATCGTTTTTAGAAGGATGCTGATATAATACGTAATACATGGTAGGAGTATCTATACTCTCATAGCAACCAATTTTTCTTAAAATTGACCTATCTACTGGAAGTTCCTTTAGATAATTGTAGCAAATAAAATTTTGGGAGAAAGGGAACCTCTGGATTTAAGAACTAGTAGCTGCTGCAAAAATTAATATGGACATTTTCAAAGCAATAAAAACCAAACGCAAGCTCTGATAAGATCACTAAAAGTTAAGAAGTCAATTAATGACTGATAATGAAGCCAAACATGACTTGCAAATAAATAATCTACAGAATAGAAGGGAAAGGCTATTTGAAAAATAACTATAAAATCAAACGTATTGATAAGAAAGGAGATATAAAGCTAGGCGATGAATAGCTGCATAGGCTATTTCTTTTTTCTTTTTTCTTTTTTAATGCTTTCTTCCTGCTCAACATATTTTGATGATCTTTTAACAATTAGTTATGGACTGTGCATGATGGCAAATGAGCTGTAGACAGAGCATAATTGCCTTCAAATTTGGAGAGACTATTTCTACTTTAAAATGTTGAATATTTGTCAATTTGGTAGAAATCATTTCCATTGTCCGAGGAAGAGTACCTATTGCGGCTTGATGGTGTGGCTAATACGTTAAAATGCTGGGGAGCCGTTGCCCATATTCGGAACAGCTTAGACAAAACTAAAGACAGGCCCCGGATAGGAAAGGTAAGATTACTGGGAAGTCGGCTCTCATATCCCCACTAGAATTATGAACAAAGGCTGATGGGCGACGACAGGGTTGAAGGGGAAAGTTTAGATAGGAAACGGCAAAAAAAAAAAAAAAAAAAAAAAAAAAAAAAAAAAAAAAAGGGTACAAGGGTGTAGAATAGATTTCGATAGTCTGCTTCCTGACTAATCTAAGTAGAGTTGAATGGATAAAATAGCTACTATTATCTTAAAGGTGGATGATTTGATTCTTATACTCATAATTCTTGTGTTGAACACAATGAAACAAGGATCACTAATTGAGTTAAGCCGACCTAACAAACTTGAATGATGAAATTCACTTGGCTTGATTTTGATTACATTAGCTCGTTATTGTTTCTTTTGGTAGTGTTTTGATAGATTTATTGAAACTTTGCAGGCAGTCAGTATTTTTATCGACATGGATGAGTCTGGTGGCCGTGCCAATGAGTGGATATACAAGTAGATTACTTATACGAACAAAAGTCAAATGTATATTTATTATATTATTTTTTTTGTATAGGTAAAAGTCCAACAAATACACTTTTTATTTATTTAGACAACTTTAGTTCCTCTAGGATACATTTGTTACTAAATAGTAATGGTGGTTTGTATAAACATGTGACAATGAGGCGGTCTTTTTGATCCCTTCGAGGTGGATATATGGGTTAAGACATTTTTCTTTCTTTCATAGAAAACAAAAAGGGCTACAAAAGACAGCCTAAAGGCCCGGGTGAGAGGAAACTCCTATCCAAGAAAATCATGTGGTCTCTAGCCATTAGAAACATGAAAACACTGTGGCATCAAGAACGATTTCAGAGATCGAAGGGTCTCATGAAGTTGTTTATGGCATTTCAGAGATCCAAGGGTCTCAGGAAGTTGTTTATGGCATACCGTTTAATGACGTTCGAGTGTTCATCGATGTTGAACATGAGAATGGTGTTCCATTGACCATTCCTATAGCTGGGAATATTGAGTTTGTTTTCCATGCGATTGAATTTCATGTTCTATGGCCGAAGATTCTTGTTATTGATTACATATTAGTTTAAGAAAGTTTCTCTAAATTTGCTGCCTTGAAAAGGAAGATGCCAAAATGTGTTATATCACAGTTACAAGTAGCAAGTTAAATATGTATTAATATTTGTAGAGAATGATATGCAAAGTAATTATTTATATGTCTCAACATCTCATCACATCACTGCATTGCCTATAATTTTAACTTCAACAAAATTAACTTCTTATATCGTGTGTACGTAAAATTTACTTAATCTCTGTATATTATCGCTACTCGCTTTTAAATTATTACTTATTTGTTGCTTCTAAGAGTGAAATCCATTCTTATATACTAACATAGATCCTTTTAACTTGTAGCCTCACGTACTTAGAAAATTTCTAAGAGGTCTTCCATCATAGGATTATTCCAAACTAAGCACGTTTAAGTTTGAAGGTTTTATGATTGAGCCATCGAAAAAAAAAGGTCTATATTGTTATATTACTATTGAGCATCGTTACTAACCATTGGATCCAATAAAAACTATAAAGCATTTTTTTCTTGCATCTCTGCTACATTGTATTTTGTTTTTGTCTATTTATTAATACATAGAGATAGGCTTTGATGAGGATGATGCTAAGTTGATACTTATTTAGAATATCTTGGGACACTTGCTGATTTACTATTATTAATACTATTATTAATGATTTAATATTACCATATAAGCTTACATCATAATATTATAGCATTGTTCTAACGTGCATTTACTATTCTACAAATAAACTATCAATTTTTCCTCTTACCTGGTTAATTTTAGATGTTCAGTCCAAGAAACATGGGTGGGATCGAAAGTCCAACATTCATTAATATTCACAAGGTTTAAATAAAATACAAGCTACCAACTAAACGGTAGAAAGTATACTAATAACCAAATCTAAAAAATAGGATAAAATATACTATTAACCAAATCCTCGTAAAAGAAAAAATTCTAACGGGTTATGACTATATAAAATATATTCCAATATTAATGATTAGGTATATATTCCAATATACACTCGCTATCTTGTATAGAGTCTGTAAACGACTTAGCATAGATATGGGAGGGTTCATGCCTCGATCGGTTCTAGATAGATGAATGTTCGAGATACCCTAATGATACGAACGACACATGGGTCCATTTTTTTATATATATGTTCAAGCAAATTACGATGGGCGATGACATCCTGGGACTTGGGATGACATCAAGATATGAAGGCCACGTTGTTGGGAACCAAGATGAGATGCAAAAATGCATATGAATGACCTTGGCCTAGAGTAGGAGTGTAGAGAGAAGTTGGTGAAGGTCACAAACGATTGAACACGTATGGCCGAACAAGCTTAGATTTTGCATGAGTTGTATTTAATTAGCGAAAGAGAACCTCACCTATTAAATTAGGTCAAATGTTAGTAAATAAGCAAATATAAACGTGAAAGCAACATATATATTAGTAAATGAAATGGAAAAATGAAGTATCAAATCTGCGCACTAAGACGTGTGAATTTTATTTAATTCAAACCAACGTCCGCATCATTTTATTTTTATAATATATAGTATTGGAAAGGTTGGAAGGAGTTTTAGGTCTTTTCCACAACACACCCACACGTCTTTGAAAAAAGTGGAAAAAGTCAAAGAGGAGCGTGCGTCCCAAATCGTTGACTTCGGATTCCACCAACAACAACACTCTCAATTAACCACAATTCAATAATGTTTTATGTCCGCCTCTTCCCCAACACTTCTACTTCCTACTCATGTTTTACTTACCAAATTTGCAATCAACCACAATTCAATAAAGTGCTTTCAAAGGTGCAATTCAAAAGGCCGACCACTGTACGGAAGGCCACTGACTACACGAACTCTATACCAACTCATGAGTCCCTTTATCTATAGACGACGAGATGAAAGCCCGACAAATGCCTATGATATGGTATAGTACGAAAAAGTACGAAAATAAGAGCTCACAACATCCTTGCACTACTAATGTTGAACCAATAAGGGATTCTTAAGATTTACAAGAGAACGGAACATTTTTCATACAAAACTTCGAATGGGAAGGTTAGAACGAAACATTTTTCATACAAAACTTCGAATGGGAAGGTTATCTCTGTTATATCGACCATCCTAGCTTTAATCAATAATTGACAAGAATAAGACAGTTGATATCATGCCATCTTTTAATAAGTCGTCATATACCCATCCAAAAGTCTATGACATATTATATGAACATCATAAAATGTTATAGGTGTTTGCATTTAAGCAAGAGTTATGATAGGTCTCATGCATGTAACTATAGGCATTTACATTTAACCCCGATAGGGAGGTCGCTTGTTGAGTATTTCTTAAAATACTCAAGTCATGTGCTTCCGTGTTTTGTCAGGTAAAGGCAAGACATCCTTGTACGATTAACGACGACATCACAAATTGAGACCATGACACATGCATAGAGTAGTTGTATTTATTTTATTAGACCTAGGTTAGAATAGGATGTTTTTAATTTAAATGTTTATTTATTTCATTTAGTTTATTGTTGTGTCGTTTTAAAAATGTTTTCAAACACGTAAGTCTATGGTTGTACTTTAAAATAAAGTTTATGTTTTATAAAGTTTCAACTGAATTATTTTCGCATTAAATGTTCATGATATGCATACATTAGTGACCTTATTTTAAGTAGAAAATTTAGGGTCGTTACATTACATATATTTATACCAACAAAATGCGCTCTCTTGTGGTCCAATCATAGGAAATTCAAAATGCTTTCCTTTGAGCAATTCTAGTTTGGTGGCATTCTAAAATTTTCTAAGAAGCATGTGAGTTAGGACAAAACATGTTGAAATAACTTGGATTGATACGTGGGGATAGTCTTCACTCTTAAAAGTGAGGAGTAAGAAACGTGATCATACCGTAGGCGAAATAAGGAGATATCTAGGTCATCAACTGTCGAATCCAGATTCTCAATTCTGAGAATGAATCATTGCAGATGATATTAGAGCAATTCCTCTCATAGTAAGATGTGGTTTGGGGATGAACCAAGGTGAAAATTGGTGGACATGTGACATTCGAGTAAATGAGAAGTACATGAATGAACCAGGACCATATTCGAATGAGAGCGACCATAAGGATAGGATGATTAACTCCGTTGGATGATGGAAGTCCCACATCGGCTAATTTAGGGAATGATCATGTGTTTATAAATGAGGAATACTAACTCCATTGGTATGAGGCCTTTTGGGGAAGCCCTCCCCAAAGCAAAGCCATGAGAGCTTATGCTCAAAGTGAACAATATCATACCATTGTGGAGAGTCGTGTTCGTCTAACATGGTATCAGACTCATGCCCTAAACTCTAAACTTAGTCGTGCCAATAGATTGGTAAATCCTCAAATATCGAACAAATAACTCTTAAAGTAAAAAATCTCGAAGGCAGATAGTCTTTACTTGAGTGATCGTTTGTTGTTTCTCGTGTAATTTTGCTTGTCGAGGAACAAGTGAGAATCGTAACCTTAATTTCATCTAACAAAGTCCAAAATTTCATAAAGATGTGGTGTTGTCTCCTGTCAAGAATAGGTAAAAAAATTGACTTTAGCGTTGCTAGATCTTATTCCTCATATATTTAAGGTAAGACTCGAAAATGTGTCAATCTAAACGGAAAGTTATGACTGGATCCATAAAGTCAATAGAATTTGTCCCACCTAATGGTTTGAACTAGGGTTCAATTATAATGAAATCATCAAATTTCAAACTTGTTATATAACTCAACACCTTTCTCTTAAATCCACTTCCGTACGCTATTTCCCTCTTATCCAACGCCAAAACTTCCCCAATGAAGCCTCCTCAAAATGTGTCTGAAAACCCAGAAAAGTCTTCAACGCTGCATCGTTGATTCAAACCCATTGAAGGGTCAGGATTGAGATTAAAGAACAAGGCACAATTCATCCATGGCGCCGCCGTCAGCATTTTGTAGGCATGACATGATGTTTTCAACCAATTTTTTTAGTCAGACAAATTGGTAAAGCGCCGAACCAATCCATCCAAAAACACCAACTAGAAATTCCAATTGAACCCTGGAAATTATTACACCCCAAACAGAAGGTGTTGCGAATTTTCTCTTTCAATCTCGTATATTAAGGTTTGTTCTTCTTCCTTTCTCCCACTTTGGAATTCCCGAAGATCGATCCTCTTTACCAAGAAATTTCTAAATTCTGTTTTCGGGTTCTTTTTTCCTGATTCTGTAAGTTGATGATTTCTTCTTCTATTTCTCTCACTTGTTCTTATTAAATCTTCCTTGTCATACTGAAACCCAGAAGGAGGAATTTGGTTTTGGTTTGTGGGTTCTCTGGATTGAGGCTTTTTAATACGTTTCAGGTCATTTTTAGGTTAATTTTGTTGATTTTGAGTGGTTTCAAGTTCTTTGAGAACGACCCTGTTTCAGGTATTTGTCTTAGATTCTTAGGGTTTTCTTGTTCTTGAAATTGTTGGTTTATAAGCTTGAATTTTCTTCTTCTTCTTCTGGGATTGGGATTGATGTTCTTCATTTACATCATGTTTCGTTTAAGATTCTAATTACTGCATAAACTGATGGCCTTAATTTGAGAAGTAACCTGGTTTGTTATCTAAATTAATTGCTACCAATTGGCTCTCTGATGTTCTTCCTCTGATTCCTTTGCTACTTCAAGCCTTTTCTCCATGAAACTTCTTAATAAGCTTCACTTGATGAAGATTTTAAAGTTTCTAAAATTGAGCTTAAAAGAAATTTCTTCATGTCTTGGTTTATTTTGATCTGTTCTATTAAATTTTGGCTCTGATTCTGTATAATTACTTGAATTATATGATCCTCTTCTTTGTGCTACAAATTCATAAGGAATTGATTGGGTATATGTTTTGTGTTTCCAGAGCTTCCAACAGAGGGTGTAAAATCTATATGGTGTAAAACTGGTCTTCCTGAAAAAGCAGAGCTAGGACAAAGAAAACGATGTCACTAGTTGGGCCATCCGATCCATCTCCGTTGTCGTATGGAACTCGCAAACTCTACTCGTTGAAAGGAACCAAGAATGCTTCCGACTTGTCCACGCAGAGATTTGGTTCCGAAAAGAATAGGACGATGTATATGAATGATTCGTATTACAGTGAGAGCTACGACAAGTATTTCCTTGACTTCCCGATCGAAGAGCTATCGGTTTCTGGCATTTCTACTGATTCGTTTCATCCCAACGCTGCTTTGTATGGGATAAGGGCTGATTCTCTATCCCCTTTGTGTGATTCGTTTACATGTTTTGATGCTTATCAATCGAACTCATACTCGGTTTGCCTTGAGAGTACAAGTCCAGAACAGCTGGATTTTGAGGATGATCAAGTGAGACAGAAGTTGCAAGAATTGGAGAGAGATCTGCTCGGCGAACCCGATTCTGCTGATTACGAGGATGAGATGTTTGCAAATGGCCAGAGCATGGAAATTGATAGCGAATGGGCGAATTCAATTCAAGATGCATTGCTTCATGACTCGCCGAAGGAATCGTCATCGACCAATTCTAATTTCAGTACCATTAGTAGCAATAAGGATGCATCTCAGATATCATCACAGAATCCCAGACAGATACTTATGGAATGTGCTTCTGCTATCTCAGAAGACAACTTTGAAGAAGCATCAGCTATGATAGAACAGCTCCGGGGTATGGTCTCGGTTCAGGGAGATCCCTCACAGAGGATCGCAGCGTATTTAGTGGAAGGTCTTGCTGCCCGGTTGTTGGAATCGGGAAAATGTCTTTATAAAGCCTTGAGATGCAAAGAACCTCCTTCCTCAGACCGTCTCGCAGCTATGCAGATCCTTTTTGAGGTCTGCCCCTGTTTCAAATTTGGCTTCATGGCTGCAAACTGTGCCATTATCGAGGCAGCGAAAGATGAGAAGAGAATTCACATAATCGATTTCGATGTAAGCCAAGGAACTCAGTACATAAAATTGATTCAGATGCTGGCAGCTCAGCCAGGTAAGCCACCACATTTGAGGCTAACTGGTGTTGATGACCCCGAATCGGTACAGCGCCCTGTTGGAGGTCTTAGACACATTGGACAAAGGCTCGAGCAGCTGGCGAAAGCGCTGCGGGTTCCATTTGAATTTCACGCAATCGCCTCAAATGCTTCAGATGTCACTCCCTCAATGCTCGCCTCCCGGCCTGGAGAAGCACTCATAGTAAACTTTGCTTTTTTACTTCACCACATGCCAGACGAAAGCGTTTCAACCGTAAATCTACGAGACAGGCTTCTCCGAATGGTCAAGGGCCTGAATCCCAAACTGGTAACAGTCGTCGAACAGGACATGAATGCAAATACGACCCCATTCGTTTCAAGATTCATCGAAACGTATAACTACTACGCAGCTGTATACAACTCTCTCGATGTAACACTTCCAAGAGATAGTCAAGACAGAATAAATGTAGAAAGACAATGCTTGGCGAAGGACATAGTCAACATTGTAGCTTGTGAAGGTGAAGAAAGAGTAGAGCGATACGAAGTCGCTGGGAAATGGCGGGCAAGAATGACAATGGCTGGCTTCACTTCGTGTTCGATGAGCGAAAAGGTGACCGACCCGATACGTAAGCTTATTATGGAGGAGTATTGCGAGAGATTCAAGATGTATGAGGAAATGGGTACACTCCATTTTGGATGGGAAGAGAAAAGCTTGATAGTTACTTCAGCATGGAGGTAACAAGGTGTAGCATTCACAGCTGTTGTTGTATCTGTTTCGCTTCAATGCTTGTGTATGTGTATGTGTTTGGTTCCTAGTTATCTAACATTAGTTAAAGCTTACAGGTTACCTGCTCTACTGGTTTTCCATTTTCCATTTTTTTTTTCATCTATGTACTATATATATATATACACACACACATATATGATGATCTGTCTTCATTTGAAAATACTAAATTACCCTTTAAGTCATCAAACTACTATTTTTGTAGCTGTGTTGTTCAAAACTGGTGGCAATACTGATACCATTCAGTTCTTATCTGACTTTGAAAATGTGAGGTAATTAGGTCACCTTGTCATCCAAAGGCTGCAGATGGGGGTGTTTTTGTAACTTCCTTTAGGATGAAGAATGTGATGGAGGAATTTGTATCTTCAATATTAAAGGATATAAGAACGACTTAAACGTAACTGTAACGACTCAAACTCACCGCTAGCAAATATTGTCCGTTTTGACTTCTTATCTATTACTATCAACCTCACGGTTTTATTTCCACACCGTTATAAAAAATCAACCTCATGATCGTTCAATTTAGTCATTTCGGACTAAAAGTTTGGTAATAGATATATTTTGAGAACATACAAAAAAAAAAAAAAAAAAAAAAATATAAACACAAATAAGATTTAAGGATTAGGTAAGGCAAAATAAGTCTAATTAATAAACTTCCAAACAATGGATATAATAATTAAGTAAATACAAAGTTGAACAAAGTAATGGGATCTCACCCAAATGACATTTTAGACTTCTCTGGAGAAAAGAGTTCATTTTAAGACTTTTGAAAACTTCTAAACTTGAGATTTTAAGAGGAAGTAATTATTATACAGAAAGAGAAAATTAAATAAAGTTGCTTCAATCTTATATTGAATGCCCATCTTTATAAAATGGTGAGATTTCACTCTAAATCATTAATTTTAGCTCAAGACAGTAAATCCTCACTACTCATCTATGATACCAATCACTACTCATTCATCTATGATACCAATCGTTCACAATTACGAAAGCTTACTAAGTATGAAAACATAAAAGTTGATTCACCTCAAAAGAAGATCCGTTGCTCGGGAGATCGGTGGCATTAGAAAGACAATTTTTTGCCATGCTCTACCTTTGATGGTCAAAACCTCGGGTCTGTTAGTCACTATTGTGGCAAAAGACTTGCTCTGTTTTGAAATTTATTCAATTCCTCCTTATCCTGAGCTCCAATAGCTTTGAGGTTTTCTACAAAAATCCTCCTTGCGCTCCAAGAGACTTGTTAGAAATTAATGTCAATATTTCATTTAGTCAACATTCTCAATATTAGGAGGTCATATAGATATCAACCGAAGAACTTAGCCAGCATGAGCATGGCTAACAAGAAACACATATATCCTTTTGGAGTTTCAAACCCTCCACCTACGCAATATACAAGAAACGGAAAATAATTTCCTGGAAATTGTTCTAATTAAGCTAGCCAACAAATGAGAAACGAAATTAGAGAAAGATACTAAATTGGCGAAGAATGTTAAAAACATATATAATTACAGATCTTGATCATCTCCCTTTAAGTTCACAATCTCCCAATCACTTATTTCATACAGAAATCAACAGATAAACCACAACAAAACTTAGGTATTCAATGACTCCACAAAAAGAGAGCATTTCAATTGATTGGTTAGTAGCTTTCTCATGCAAACGAAAGAACCCTGTTACGCCGCACATACCTTCCCCACCTTCATGAAGAATTCAACGTTCATCCTTCCCATAAACTCGGCACAGGTGGCTTTTTCAAGGAACAGCCTTCCTTCCCTACCACATGGCCTCTGCCTCTTCAACATGACAATCCAATGACCGCATCCGAACCAGCTGTTTTGAAGAATCACAAGCCGATCAAGTTGGTGCTTCGTCCATCTCATTGTATCTTGAAAAGGTTCTTCAATTTCACCACCAGTCTCCACTCCTCCGTGGACAAATCATCCTGAAAATTGACATATTCATTTTATTTGTTGGCCAAAACCAAAAAAAATTAAATAAATAATAATCACACGTCTCCTATAACCATCCAATACAAATTCAACAGATTAGACATTTTGTAATTCCTCTCTAGTATATCCAATGGTCTAAAACTATAGACTACATTGTGTTGGACTATAACAATTTCTCAAATTTTTTCTATTAAACAGGGGAAAAGAGAGGGAAGAGAAGTAAACTAACCCGATAATTGGCTTTGAGTAGGTCAATGGACTTCCTTGATATATGACTGACAAGTTCATCCTCCAAATCAAAATGCCTACCATACATCTTTTGCTGTTCCTCCGAAGAGTGCCCAACAATCTGATGGAAGAACCCAAGGAAACATCAGCACAAAATTACTACCACAAGGATGATTATAAGAATTTAAGAAAAGTTTCTAATAAAATTGCATCAGTCACATAGAAACCAGTAAAATAACAAAAGGGGTTACCTTAATGGCAATCTTCTGCCCCTTCTTTGCATAATCAACAGGTTTGTGATTATTTTCAATAGATGCGATGCGACCAATCTCAATAAATTCTCGTTGAGGAATACAGATTGGTGTGCCAACCTGCAGTAACGGTAAAACATCAAAAAGATTGAACTACAGGTGATTTATCAAAAATGCATTCTTCAACCTACAGTAAAATGTTGGTAAATAACTTACGACATTATATTTCAAAGAATTTTTTTAAAAAATGCAAAATATATGATTTAAGAACAAGCGACAAGCAAGCCCAACACTCCAGAGTCAAATATGCATTATAATACTTTTCTTTTCTATCGTGTCCATATGACCACAAATGCCTGTGAAGTATGTGTTGGATCAATTACAGAAAGATCAAACACTAGATGCCCAAAAAGTGTCACCGAATGATTAGACGTCCACATCCAATGCATGTTAGTACAAAAATAACAACCGAAGGAGATTGACCTGATCAATGGTCAACCTTACTTTTTGACCTTCCTCTACTTAGAATTTTACCCCACTAGAGTGATTTTTTATCCGTTTTCACCACTTTTTTCCTTTGGATTCAATTTAGGACCTAACAAAGAGTTTGGGAGAATACCAACTTCGAGAAACAAGAAAACCAAGCCTCCGAACAACCTGAACACAATAAGTAACCATTTGAACTTTTTCTTGAAAAATGCTGGTAGGAATCAACTAGGATTTGAGCTAAATAGACTTTGAGTATGGATTATAGGGTAGAAATTACTAAACTTGAGTACTCGACTTGATAAAATGGAATTTCGAACGGTTTAGTACCTATGGACGATTTATGAACTTCTGCAGTTTTGATGGGACTTTGATTTGACTCGATGAATGATTGAGACTCTGGTTAGCATGACTATACTTTACCATGCGTGATAATAGGAAGAAATGTCTGATGTTGATTGCTAGAACACATGTCAGGTGGTTAAACTTACACAAATGCTCATATATGGATGATGATTAATTACCATGTGATCAGATGATTTATGAGCATGATCAGAGTCTTGGTTATAAATTTACTATACCTTGGTCTACGAGCCACAACTGGTGTCATTGAGGTAGCATGGATTGTCTAGTACTACATGGAGGCAGTTAGGACATAAGCCCTAATCGTGAACTTGTCTTGACCGGCAAGGGTCTACCTAGTATACAGATGGTACTATTGAGGGAGCTCAAGATGTGCTTAGTGGCTGAGTCTACCAGGCACTATTGGAGGAGTATAGATAGGCATTTAGTAGCAAGCTTGTTAGGCACCTTGAGGGAGCACCAATCAGCGTTCAGTAGTTAACACTATGGACTCTATTAAGGAGATCACATAGTGGTTGCAAATAGGGAATTTTATCGAGAGAAACATGATCCAAATAAAGAGGACCCTAGAGCTTGAGATTCTGAGATTGTTAAGGCACATCCATCTCTTCTAGGAAGATCGCATAAGGAATGAAACAAAGCATTGAGAATCGTAACTAACAAACTAAGTGCACCTAGAACCCTGAGTAACCCAGATCGGTGAAACACACCCATAGAGATGGAAAACAAATGGGCCTAATAGACTTACAGTGATAAGGACCATGAGATTGGTGAGCTTTAGAACCTGGACAAGGTTGATGGAGGTGATACACCTAGATGCTGCCCTTAAGTAGTCTATAATATAGATACATGGTGTAGGTTGCTTATGGAGTATTTATATATTCATCATTGTTATTCTTTGTTTCAAACAATCCGTGAAGTAGCAGTTGATGGCAAAGGCGCTCAGGAGATGTGACTACAAGAGGCCCCTAGATCCATGTCTTGTAGTTGCATGTGTATTTTGGTTTTGTATTTGTATTTGAATATTATAATCATTTTATAACTGACTCACGTGGATGTATTTTGTATTTCAAATGTTTTATGAATTTTATGTAATTCGGTTTTGAACTTTTGAGTTCCAACCCTTTACTTGAAAACGAAAAATTTTATCAAGTCTTTTAAATTGTGTCTGTACGTAACGATCCATTGATTCAAAGTCTCGAAAAATGGTCATTACAGATTGGTATCATAGCCCTAAGTTAATAGGTCCAATACACTACTCCCTAGATAGAGAGTCATTGAGTGCCTTGCAGCTCGGAGTAAGAAACGCCTACCCACGACCAGGTAAATAAGTAGCCATTTTGAATTCCTTATACAAGTATATTTGTAGGATTGACTTGGTTGAGCATGATTTAGATAAAAATGAGTTAGTAACTAGTTATACACATGATTTAGCCTAAGAACCACAAGTTATAACAGATACGTTGCAAGTAGAGAGTGTGACTAGCAATTTCGATATGTCTAACAAACCACTTCTAGGATAGCTAGCTTGCTTAGGCTAAGAATGTGTGAGTTAGGGTGTTCCCTGGCCTCCTAATCTTTAAAGGGTAGAACAAGCCACAAGTCCAAGAATCAGTTAGGAGTAAGCCACGAGAAGTCCTTAAAAGGCATGCTAGGTTGTGAGGATCAATTTTGCTTCTAGGTTCATAACCTACTACTTATGAAGGCCAGTCCAAGAACACCTCATAATTCCAAAGTGGAACCCAACTAGTAGGGACGATTTAAGGCTGATGAGGTACAACATGGATCCGAGAGATTAAGACACTCTTTCAAGAGTTCAAAACTGAGTAAACTGTGATAGGTCCATAGATCCACACTAGGCTGTGAGATTTAGTCCACCCCTAGAACCAAGATCCCTTACTCAGAAGAGTCAGTCCAAGGGTCCATTTTTCATCAATTCCAAAGTGGAGTTCAGCCAATAGGGGCTGTTTGAAACTATTATAGTACAGATCCGAGGGATCCTTCAATATTCCCACAGGCTTAAGGGCTAAATACCATGTTAAGGTGACGAACCTTGAGCTAGTAAAAGATTTAAGTTATGTCATATGTTATGTCTTGCCTCATGACTTGTGCACTCGGGCCAAGAGGGTCTGCATGGTGGTATCAATTATGGGGTCATGCAGCTACAAGTTCTGTGAGGATTAGTAGTCAAGCCAATAGCTCCTATTTGCGAACCTATCACAGTGATGGGGTCAACAGTCAATCATAGTAGTTATCAGGAGTTGGATTAGCCAGAGTTGTGCTCTAAGCATAGTTATGTGCCACAAACAAAACTCAAGGATGTCCAACTATTTGTTAGTCATAAACTTGTCCATAGGACTATGGGCCTGCATGAGCGCATGAGCCCATGAGTGTATTACCTTGGCAGACACGTGGGTCGCTCCATCTCAGATATGATATATTATATGGCCTATTAGGGAGTCATCAGCTAATCCCTTTTTAGTTGACCAGTACTGAGTGGTACTTTCCATAATGTCCTGTCAACTCAATAGTTGGGGCAGTGAGAGGTCACGCCTCACCAATGCATGACACTTGGGTATGACACAAGCAATAACATTTCAATGTGGCTAATCAATTTATCCTAAAAATCCCGTAAATACCCTAGAGGGGTATAGATAAAGTCTTAGAGAAACAACACAGACCTACACAAAACTTTTCGACAATGTTGTTTACCAAGCTATATCTTGGTGTAAACTGTCTAATATTTTTACTTCCTATAGTTATACCTCCCTCATTGCAAATTGGGAAGGTCTTTTGTAAACATCATGGATTATACATCCCTCTTGTAAATTTCACTCATCAATGAAATTGTCTCTTATAAAAAAAAAAAAATAATAATAATAATAATAATAAAATAAAAATAATAAAAAATAAAGTCTTAGGGAAAGAGTACGAGCTATCATGAGACAATGAGGGCTCAAACAGGCCAGTACATGAGATACTATGAGGGATAGTAGTTCAGTATGGACCTTGATAGTTCAGCAAATACCCTAGAGGGGTATAGATAAAGTCTTAGGGAAAGAGTACGAGCTATCATGAGACAATGAGGGCTCAAACAGGGCCAGTACATGAGAAACTATGAGGGATAGTAGTTCAGTATGGATCTTGATAGGTCAGGACACAAGGAACGGATACTTAAGAGGGTAAAGTGCCCTACAAAAGCTCACTTAGAGCTACAAAAATCCAAAACTGTACAGCATGAAAATATTGTCAACACAGGCTTGACATGTTATAATGGTTGAAGGGAATATAAAGGCGCAAGAGTACAAAGGACTCGCCAAGGTGATCCAAGAAATGCTAAGACATGGGTGATTCACAGCATGGTACGAAGGGAAATGGAACATGTCTCTTCTAGCACACCCTAATGAGAAACCTCGACAGGGATTGTAGACCACGAGCACAAAATGGGTAGAGAGAACTATCAAGATCCCATTGCTAAAGGTCATGGGTAATTACGGCATAAGTACTTAACCATCGATTGTGGTATAGTGGCAACACCTAAGAGTGAGGAGTCTGGGGGCAGAACTCCCCAATCAGTAATAAGCAATTCTCACAAGATTGGGAGGATTTCAGTATCGACCCACTTGCATTGAACTCGAGGAAGTCAAGTGCATGGAGTCTACCCACTAAACAAGCGGTGTGAACAAAGAATCAGGAGGACATCAAAAGAGTATCAAACGCTTACCCTAAGGATTGTCGAGAAACAGGAGCGAGCACGTCAAACATGTAGTGAGGTCTTATAAGGTTGAATGCCTGTAATGACTAGTAGGAGGCCAATGCTCAAGAATTTCTGACTCCTTACAAGACAGTCAAAACACATGAAATACGACTTCCCGATGCTGTGACAATTATGGGTGCTCGTGACACCTTAGTCGGTTCTAAGGAAAGGACTGTAACAATGAGCACACTATGGTGTGAGATGACAAGAATATTAGCTTGCTGCGGGTGGAGTGTAGGGACACTAACCGTGCAAAAACACCCTTACCGAACCATAAGGTGTTAAGAGAGGGAATTTTGACAAACGTCGAGTGACACTTGAGAGGGGTGTTATACAAGAATAGATGATCCCGGGTAGTACATGAGAGGAGTACTATACGAGAGTAGATTACCTCAAATGGTGTCTGATAGAGGTACTAGGAGACAAACTCAAGTGCCACCAAGAGGGGTGTAATATGGGAATAGATGAACTCGAGTAGCACTTGAGTGAAGGATATACGAAAATGGATTACCAACTTGAGTAACACCTAAAAATGGCATTACACTAGAACAAATGATCACGAGCAATACTTGAGAGAAGTACGTATGGGAGTACACTACCTCAAATAGTACCTAAAAGGGGGTACAGGTAGAAGTAACACCTGAGTGGGGTGTATACGAGAATAGAATATCCCAACTGTTGATGAGCACTATGCAGGAGTACAGGACCTATGATGATACCAAAGATAGACATAGTGAAGTGCCACAAGAGAGGGAAATGTTCAATCTTCGACAGGAAACACAAGTGCTCTGAGGGGAGCAAAAATGCGAGCTACAAGGTAAGTTTTGTTAAGAAACAGAACACACCTAGGAGTAGCTACTAGTTGCTTAGGAAGAGATTATACCTACACCTGTAGAATGATTGATGTCATAGACAACAGTATCGTCTAACATAACACAATTAACCCCCCCATAATTGTAACATGAAGAGTGGTTGCTTACGCATTGAGTTGAAAGGCAAATTCAAACGTAAATGCCTGACCCATGTATGGGGAGTCGGCAAGCGGGGTACAAGACTTGATATATCATGTATCAGAAATAAATGCAAATATAAGAATGTTGCAAAGTTAGATTCTTTTCCTTCTTTTTCTCTAAACTATGCATTATCTGGATTCATGCATCTACTGAAGCAAAAGATAAGAAATTAAGCCAATATTTCAGATTTTAGAGACAAAATAACATCTAGAATACTGAAATAACATCTAGAATATTGAAGCGAACAAGAGATGTGAAGAAGAAACTTAAATACCTTGGCAATGCCATCAATTACATCAACCCCCAACACAATTGGATCCTTCTTGTTGAAAATGCAGTTAGGTAAAATCTTGAGAACACAAGGAAAGACTGCTTCCTCAGCAGCTTCTTTCTTCTTTTCCTCTTTAAGATTATCAATGTAGGCCTTGAACTGGTCGAACAAGTGATAGATGATATCAGCAATAAAAATCTTCACACCAAGCTCATCAGCAAGTTCTCGAGCTTCTGGAGTCACTTTAACATCAAAAGCCAAAATAGTGGCATATTCCTTTTTCTTTTCAAGCATTACGCTAGCTTTCATGACATCTTTTTTATGAACGGGTCCTATACTTATTCCACTAACAGGAATGCTCACAGCCGGACTCTTCAAAAACTCCAACAATGCTTCCAAGGAACCAAGTGTAGATGCTTGAACACAGACTCCCTCACCAGTCTTGTCTATCCTGCTCATTACTGACTTCATATCTTCCATAGCTGAATCCTTAATGTCTTCCAAGTCATCCTCAGGACCTACCACATGAAGACTGGTTCCAGCAATGGCATGCTCAAGACCCTATACAAATATTCAACAGATATATACCAATGAGATTTTATTTAGATCAATCAACTTAATCTCATTCGAGTACCCTATGAATCATAAAAAACACTACAATTTTGAGCAATATTTCTATCTCAAATACATACTAGACAATTGAATACTTACCAGGCTCTTCCAAATAAAATAGGAGAAAAAAAGAAGTTGGGCAAGTGATCTCCCCAGAAGACAATTATTATTTTTTTTTTTTCGCAAGTGAATGGGTAAGGACTCAGGCTCTAAATCAAATTGGAATGCACAATGTACAATGTCAGACTGGAAGACGGAGGAAAAATAAATGTGAATAGTGAAAGCATTCTCGAAATGATGCTAAGGAGTATGATTATGTAACTTCAATGAAGCTGGCCAGCTGGGATGTAAGAAAGCTGAATCCTGACATTACTTTCTAACAAGTTGCAACAATCAGAAGTCAAAAACATCGGAAATATCTCCAAAATCTAGCCTAATTGAAGATCAAAACGTATGGGATAATTTTTTTGGAATCACTCGGTATGGAGAAGAATTAATGAGCTTTGGAAAGAAAATGTAGTATCTAGTTGTTGTTAGGTCTTGAACGGTGCAAATGGTTCAGAATTTGGTTTCAAGACAATCAGGTGACTCTGGAAATTATGAAAAATGGATGCTTTACTAGGTCAAACCTTAAAGGGGGGTCTGTCCAACAATCTATTCATTGCTGGGTACCTTTCTTGTATTTTTAATACAATTGATGAAATGGGAGATTTGAACCTCCAACCTCATGGAATGGGGTCGGTATCTTAACCGTTGAGCTAAGCAGATGTTGATGAATAGATTCCTTATTTCATAGTCTTGATTGGCCAAAAAAATGTCAAAGAAACAAAGGTAACACTTCAAACCAGGGTAATTATCCCGAGGAACTTCTCGATTCAGAATTGTGAATGCATGGTTGAATCGAAGTTTCTTGGAATAAACCAAGAAAGGAGACAAAAGAGTTAACTTGTTGCAAAAATTGAGATATAAACGAAAGATATATAGAATACAGTGTAGAGGAGGAATTGGATGGTATCTTAAAGGAGGCTAATAACAGAGAAGAAAATGGACTATTGACACCTGGAGAGAGAAAAATTGAAGGCAAACTGAATTGGAAGAGGTGATAATTTCTTTTTAATAAGAAACGTCAAATTTATATTCCAAAAAGGAGGATAGTACAGCCTAGGGGCCAGGGGGTAGAGAGAACCCCCCCCAAAAACTGAATTGGAAGAGGTGATTTTTAAAGACAATAAATAAGATAACGTTCTAGAAATGTGAAGTCAAATGGTTGAGAAAAGGAGACTAGAAACAAACTTATTTCACAAAATTAATGGCTAAAAAGAGAAGATCCAATTGTTATATGAATGCTGGTCGTGGAAAGGAGAAACTTGGTAGAGAATATGGGGAAAAGGAAGCAAAATTTGTTAGATTAACCCAAAATTTGTCTCAAATTCTGTGTTTTTTTAGCACAATACAACCATCAATAATTCAAACTGCAAACTTATTGAGTGCAAAGATCATCAAAATGTGTAGATATACATATGGGGAAAAACCATTTAATTTAGTAAACATCTGTCAAGTCAGTTCGTGTTGTGCCCCTAGTTTATTTTGAAATTACTAACACGTGTCTAAGCCAGAATTCATACTTCTTGATGGGGAAAAAAAATTATATTTCTTGATTTATAGTTATGATGAATCACCTGTCCAGTTATTTTAATTCCCTGAGCAGCCTTGATTTCTTTATGATGCAGATACGTTCCCTGAAAATTACACAACATCATCAGCTGTTCAATGCAACACTTGCATATAAATTTTAATAGTGTCTCGTCAAGGATTGCATATTCATAGAGGCCAGATAGGACTTCAGCCATTCTAGTGACTGCACGCAAATATTCAAACAGAAAGTACTAAGATACTGTCATCAGCTGTACATTGCAACAATTGCATATAATTATCAGTGTTTCGTCCAGAATTGCACATTCATACAGGCCAAACAAAATCTAAGCCATTCTAGTGACAATTCTCGGAAATATCCAGGCAGATAAAATTCAATGACCACATTCCCTCTACCAACCACCAACCTTCCCCCTCCAGCTAGAATCGCCCATGCTAACCAAACTGGAACTGGAATTTAGATTCTTTTGTCAATAAGGAAGGTAACCTAAAGGCAGACTCTGAAACGTTCCTTTTTACTTAGTAATGAACATATTGATCTCAGAAGGGTCATTTAAAAAATCACATTCCTCGCTTTGAATTACATTGTTTCCTACCTACAGTGCAATAATTATGCAAATGCCTCAACCAGTTTGTAGTAATTTCATTCCAATAAGGATGTATGACTAAGAGTTCCAGGATGGATGCTATGACTCATTTATTCTAATAAGAAACAAATATTGTGGCAAACGAAAAATATTTCTCTGCTTCTTCAATCAAGATGATGATTGATTCCAATTTTCTTTATATAAGATTTAACTCTAAAATGAATTAACCTATTGAAGTGAATTTTCCTCCAAGGAAGCTTGGAAACACAGTCCAAATTACCGTTGAAGTGGGTCACTTGCACACTTGAAATTATTAAATTTAACTCAAAATATGTTTGAAACTGGATTTTGAGTTAAATTAAATAATCTCAAATTTCTATTCTATGAAAGTGAAAAAGGAATCATAACCTATCAATCTTAGAAAAAGAAAAGAATTAACCTTGAAATTTCATCCGTTTCTTTTGTAACCAAATTGGAAAATATATATGGACTAATTGACAAGATCACATATTACCATTAATTTTTATTATCTTTTGTAAGCAAGATCAATCATCTAAACCTATATGAACAAAAGATGCTAAAAACAGTCATACCTTCACTCGGAGCTCCTTCATTGGATGGGGGGTCAATAGGGCTCGAATAGTAGTAACAATTGGGCCCTATAACAAGATAATTCCATAAGTTTATTTTGAGACCCTCTAAACAAAAGATAATTCTATAATATCATAGATCAGTGCTTGCCTGCATGCCACAAACAACTATTTGATCTCCTTCATGCAGTACACCGTTAACCAATATGACATCAATAGTTGTTCCATGGCCTTCAACAACCTTGACCTCCAAGACCGTACACTGTTGGCGCACAATCAGAATATGATCAGCTTTTATCTTATCAAATCATAATGTATTATCATAGAGAAAATAATAAACAGTCACAGTAAACACCTGCACTTCATCACTATATGTAAGTTTCTTCGTCATGGTTTTCTGGGCCCACTGAACCAATAATAATAACAAGTCTGGAATACCTTCACCACTAACATATTCAAAACAAGCTATTAGAAGAATTGAAAGGAAAAAAAAAAAGGTGTTGACCGCATAGAGAAATAAACAACAAAAACATCAAATCAGTGAAACTTACGTAACAGCACTTGTAGGTACTATACTGAAAGTCTCCCCCATTTCTTTATTTTTATAATACAGCTCGGTATTCAATCCTTGCTCTTTAAATTGAGTGATAATCTGTTGACCCAAAATAATACATTCAATCGAAGCACATATTAAGCAGTGATAAAAGAAAATTACAACTGAGAAATGGATAAGGTACATAACCTGAATAAGCCTCATATTGAACTCATTCTGCACATCCTTGGATTGCTGCTTCATTGTCTTCAGTATTGGTGCATTGCGGATTGTTTTCCACCCATAAAGTCTGTCAACCTGGAAAGTTGCATAACTTTTCTTTGTCAGAAACAGATATTTCATACATTGAATGAAAAATAAAAACGGGAGAAAGTACTACAAGATCAAACGTTTTAAAGAAAAATGTCAAGTGCAAATGCAAATAAATAGTAGTTACCTTATTCAGAGCAATAATAAATTCTGTGTTTCTCATCCTCAAGAGATTTAGAGATTCTATTGTTTGTGGCTCTAAGCCATGCATGATGTCAACAACCAAAATTGCAAGGTCACATAAACCCGAACCACGAGAACGCAAATTTGTAAATGATTCGTGCCCAGGGGTATCAATAACAAGCAAGCCAGGAACCATCAGCTTTGCATCAGCTTTCAATTCCCTAGTTCTTTCACGAATGTTCTCAGCAGGAAAATATGTTGCCCCAATCTGCTGCGTAATTCCTCCTGCCTCTCCCTCTTGAACATTTGTACCACGAATACAGTCCAGTAGTTTGGTTTTACCAGTGTCAACGTGGCCCATAATACAACAAATGGGTGAGCGAAGATTTTCTTCCTGTTGTTTAGTAGTAGTATCTGATGTTGAAATTTTTTTCTTAACAGCATCATCTTTTCGTTTGCCCTTGTCAACAACCTCAACCTCAGGCTGATTCTTTCTGTTTTCAATATCTTGATACCTTATAGGCTGAGAAGGTAAACTTTTTTGGGCAGGGGCAATTGGCTTGGCACCTACAAATGCGAGTGTTAGAAAACAGAAAAATCCAATTTCTAACTTCAAAATTGAAAACAAAGAAAATGCTAAGAAGAAGATTGAAAAAATCATGGAGATAACACCTAAATATAACAAAATAATGAAAAGAAACAAAGAAATAAAATAATCACTTTATAAGGACATTATATCATACAGGAGGCTTATATTATAAATAATCCTTATTTTATAAGTCTATGCTAAAGCTTCGGACTCCCCCTCGTGAAAATATCAAAACCTAGGATAGAATTGGAGAATAAAGAGATAGGGAGACAAAAAGAACGTTTGTCTCTCTCCTTCTGGATATATTTTTTGAAGTAAGCCACCTAATTAGTAGTCATTCAAGTGATAATTTGTGAAGGGAGAGAAAAAGCATGTACCCAGGACATTGCAAGAACAAAAACTAACCAAAAGAATCTATCAAAAAAAGAAAACTGTCACTAAATGCAGAGTTGATACTTCCTCCGACGGGCCCTAAGATAGCTCTAACTAAATTTAACCACAGAATTTTCTGATTTTTTTGAAGGGGGCGACTGCAACTAGATGACAGAAAAGTTCTCATATCGATTGTAAAAGGGGATATATGCAAGCTAAAGGAAGATAGCAGCATATTTCAAAATCTGCTCGCAAAGTCCCATTATATAAATAAACCCTTTTAGATTCTGAGTTCTTTATACACATAATACACCACAGTACCTTTTGGCAACAATGGAATGGAAGAAATTGATTCACTTGACTTGTGACTCGTTGATGTGAAGTGGGGGAATATGATTTCACTAAGGGAGACACAAGAAAAACAGAATGAGGCAGTCACTCAAAAGACAAGGATGTACAAGGACTTCTAATTGGGTATTAAAACAGAAGAATAACCTCCCCTATCTCTTTTTTGCTTATAAGCCTTTCTTCTTCTTTTTTTTTCCTTTTTCTTTTTTCTTTTTTTATTTTTATTTTTTTCCTTTTTGTACTTATCTGAATTTGCGCTTAACACTTAATCCTTCCCTATGGTTTTCTTGTCTCCTTTCATGAAAACCCATGCTTTCGTTGGAAAAAAAAATGAAACACAACAAAGGGGCATACAAAAAGAAACGGCAAGGAGAAAAACTAAAACACAATGACTCCAATAAAACAAAATAAAATCTCAAGCATAATTAAAGAACCTATGAACAAGTAGACAGCAATAGAAAGATCGAACAAAAAAAAATCCTGACAAGACAAGTGTAATTATTCAACCAGTTCAAATATCATTAAACATGCAACAATAAATGTCTGAAGTGCTTCATGCATAAGATAAACTACAGAACTTCCAAAAATAAAGAATTGATTTGATTGTATCAAAAATGGGAGTGCATCTCCAGCCCCCACGAAATTAATCCTAATCAATTGATATCTTTTATTTTGAAGTGTTAAATTGACCTGAGTGAACTGCAACAGAATGTACAAGTGTTGATTTTATACTATTGACCTTACCTGCATCACGTGAAGTTTGTGCACCATTCTTTCCATCCTTTTTCATGCCATTCTCAGTCTCTGAATCAAGCTCCTCATCAGCAAAGGAACTTTTTAAGGAAAGATCAACAACAGCATCATCCCAACTCTTTGCATCCCACTCATCCTCATCCTCATCCTCATCCTCGTCCTCTTTTTTAATTTCATTATCTTCAGAAACCTCAATAATATCCGATTTTTCCTCCACGTGCATCGACTCAACAGGTTCAATCTTCTCAGACTCCAATATTTCAGAATCTGCCACATCTTTTTCTTGTATCTTTTCTTCTGTATGTTCCATCACCTTAGTTTGCGCACTACCATTTGTTTGATGATGGGCAGGTTTTGACTTCTTTGTCTGGTATTTTGGTCGTTTGGTTGGTGCACTAGGGTCAGATGCAGACAGTGGCAAACCCCCTGAACTTGCTAATATCTGGTTCCTCATTGCCTCCAACCTCCGTTGTTCTTCCTTTTGTTTCCCTGTTAACAGCTTGCCTTCTTGTTTCTTCTTTAGGAGCTTTTCTTTTTCTCTTTCCTTTTTCCTACGCTTAGCCTCCTCAGCTTGCCTTTCAAGTTCTTCTTGCCTCCGTCTCTCTTCTTCCTCCTTCCTCAATTTCTCTTCCTCTTCCCTTTTCCTTCTCTCTTCTTCTTCTTTCCTCCTAGCCATAGCCTCTTGCATCTCCCTAACATGCTTCGGCACTTTCTTATCTGGCACTTTACTCTTTGCAGCACCTTTTTTGGGTTCTATAATTTCAGTCTTTACCTCCTCAATTTTCTCATCCTTCCCTTCAGCAGCTGCTGCCGCTGCAGCTGCAGCCTTTTTCTCCTTTTCCTTCTCCTTTTTCTTTTTCTTCTTCCTAGCTGCAGCCGTTTCTGTGCTCTCTTCTTCAGCTTCCTTTTCAGCTGATGCATCAGGAGGAGTTACAAGGTCAGGTGGGTTCTCAACTTTGGCCTCTTGTGAAGAAAGAGGAGGGTCTGCTAGTTTTGATATAGTAGGCCCCTCTCCTAGCTCAGCAAGAATCTTATCCAAATCATCTTCTTCTTGAGCAGTCCTTCCACTCTTCTTCTTTTTCTTTTTATTTTTTGAAGTTTCTGCTACCCCCTCCGTCTTGTTAGCTTTAGATAAATCAGAAGCAAAACTGGTACTTGCTGAATTAAGTACTTCGGGTACGAATACATCTTTAACATCATTCCCCAGCGGATTTTCATCACTTAATGTGACAAAAGAACTGCTGCTTTTCTTCTTAGAGGACTTTTTCTTGCCAGAAAACGCAATAACATTGTCATCGTCTTCATCAACACCATCATTTTGTAATTTATTTGGCTCTGAAATAGAAACATCGCCATCATTATCCTCATCAGCAAATGCTACACTAACCGAATTGCCACTTTTCTTTGAACCCTTAGCTGACTTCTTTTTCTTACCAGAGAAGCTAATCGTTGTAACATCTTCATCCTCAACCTTGTCAGCATCTCTGTCCTCATCCTGATAATCAAGACCACTAAAACCTGAAAATGCATTCACAGCCTTTTTGGCACCTTTTGATGACTTTTTCTTACCTGTAAATGCAATAACAGGCTCATCATCAATCCCTTCGTCAACTTTGTTCTCATTATCAATTACATCCTCATCTTCCTCGTCATCAAGGGCACTGAATGCTGACACTGCAGAAAAACCACTCTTCTTGGAAGACTTCGACGACGACTTCTTACCTGAAAACTTGATTTCAGAATCATCCCCTTCATCGTCATCCTTTTCTGCAGTTAACACAGATTCATCATCATTATCAGCACCATCCTCTCCCTCCTCCTCAAGTAAACCAAAGCTGGAAGCAGAAAAAGCACTGCTACTTCCACCCTTCTTCGACTTACCCTTCTTCTTCCCGGTGATAACAATTTCTGAAACACTATCCACATCCTCATCCTCATCATCATCCCCTTTAACTTGTGAAACTTTTGAATTTCCCTTCTTACCCTTCTTTTTCCCAGTTATCACGACCTTCTCCTCCTGAACTGGGGCTTCTTCAGACAACTCGGTTCCGATGGAGTACTCATCATCGTCTACTGCAAATGTCTTTTTCTTCGACTTCCCACCACCCTGAGCTGCCGCTGGGGCGCTGTCATCATCCCGTGCAGTAGGCTTCTTTCGACCCATAGAAATATCGCCAAATTGAAACGTTAAACCACCAACCCTAGCGCCTCAAAAGTCCTATCTGCCATAAATTAGGCCCATCAACACCAATCAGCAACGTAATCAGATCTCTCTTCAACAGAATAAAATCCATCAAAACAATAGAATATAGAACATATATAAAAACCAATAACATCATTGAAAAAAAAAAAACACACACACACACACACATACAATGAACCTTAACAGAGATGAGGCGTACCCAGAGAGAGATGGAAAAAAAACCAAAGTAAGGGTAGAGAGATATTCAGGAAGTTGGCGACTGGGATTGGGAATGTGGGAGAGGTTCGTAGAGCCAGTGCAGAATCACATAATCAAAGCGGGCGATTGAAATTCAGTCTGATTGGAAATCCTGTTTTGATCCCAAAAAATATATACATCCATCCGTCTACAGCAGTCGATTTATGCAGGATTTGAAAATAAAGATTTGACCTAATTCCAAATTAAACAAAGAAAAGAATTAAGATTCGATTAGGGAGGCGTGCAATTGCAGCAGAGACGTAGAGAAGAAAGAAAGGTGGCGATAGTGGGCGTGCCGGCGAGCAGGTGCGGCCAATATCGGAGAGTGAGGAGAATCAGAGCAGATTTGGTGAGGGAATGAAGCAGAAGGCTAGGGTTTAGATTTTTATTTTTTATTTTTCCTATTATATGATGAAAATTGGAAAAGAAAAAGGAGAATATGATTTAAATATATAATAAAATCTCTTTTATAGCTCACTTGTTGAAATTTAGAAAAGTTACTATTTATTTTCAGTTGAGAATTGTAATGGAATATTTGGTAATTTAATTTTTATATTTATTATTTAGTTATTATCATAAAAATTATTGTTCTCATTTAACAAAATTCTTACATATAAATAGATAAATAAACTAATTTGAGAAATAATATATTTATTATACATATTGCAATCATCCACCGGAGTTGCAAGTCGTTACATAAGAAAACGAATTTAATTGTAAAAGAAAAGCTCATATTTAAATTAAAAGTAGTTTAAGCTATTCCAACGTAATTACGTTTTGAATAATCAAAATCGTTTACAAACATAAGTTCAACGGATATAGGCACCGAAAAGTCTAGAACCTAAACAAGACTCTAACAAATGACGCCCTCGTCACTAATTGACAACTCATAAGAATACTTAATAAGTAGCTCATTCAAATGCTCATAATAGATACCAAAACACGTCCATACACTCTATATATAATAACATGTGTCTATACATAGGCCTCTCAGCGTAATATCCTAAGGTGAGCAACCTCTGCACCTTCTGAATCATTAGAGACAAGTTGTTCATCTCTCTCTCGAGCACATTTCGATATTAAAAATCATGAAATTTAGGAACTTTGGTTATGCTCTTCATCGTTCTCTCACTGGCATATGTTCGTGGTAAGGAGAAGTTCGGCCTCCATGATCATCGAACATCATGACATATATGGCTCATGTCACACTGGACAATCCAGTTGTAATAACCCACTTTCTAAGGCTTCAAATTGTGGATTGTCACGTAGATGTAAGGGTAAAAAGGGCAATCATTTTTTTGTTAAAGAGATAACACAAGGAATTAATTAAATATTAATAAGAGGAGTCTTACATTGAAAACGTTAAAACATACAAACATGCTCGTGTAAGTTATATAAAGCGTTTAGAAATGACATGAGTTCCAAAAACAACATTCAAAATATCAATATAGAAAGCAAAGACTCAATTTAAAGGTTTTCCTTGCATCTGATTGGCTCCATATGCTCCTGCCAATGACCGATAATCTATGATCCATTTGAAAAACGAAGAATAGTAAGAATGAGTATTAAAATACTGGGTAAACAACTAGGTTGTAAGCTCACATCGAAACTTCTCTTATCTCGTGTTTCTTAAAGTTATGTAATTTGTCATGGGTTCTCGAGTTAGCCAATTCCATAGCTTGGTTCAATGTAGCTTTATTAAGCTCTCACATTCATATACTCAACTTACTCCTATGTCAAGAGTGTAAGTCATCCATTTGAGTATAATTAGGGTTCTAGGTGCACTCGACCATTCTTTTTCTACTTCTCACGGTCCATCTAGTCATCACACTTCCTAAGCATAAGTCGAGATGCTCACATCTATCTCGGACTCTAGAGTGAGTCTAGCAGGTATGGAGGAGTTGTCACTCTTTATAGGCAACCTCCGATCTCCTTATAAACTTCTTACATGCCTACTACTGAGTGCTAGTTGGAAGTTCCCCTAATAGTACCTAAGAAGCCCCTTATCTCTAAGTCATTCCAAACTCTTAACAGTGCAAGATAGGCCCTCCAATAGGCACAATCAGAGCTCCCTCAATAGTGCCCTCTAATGTGTCATAGGTCCTAAGTGGGTGATGTCACATTCCTATATATGAAGTAGACCCTCACTAGTCGATGTAAGTTTATGACTAGGGACCGTACCTCAACCGTCCCTACATAATACTAATCAACCTCCTATCATGCTTCTAGGGGACAATATCAACAATAAATCACATTTAACATGCATATTTTACCTGGTCTATTCATTCATATCATGTCAGAGTCCCAACAACCCTAAATTAATTTAGAAATAAGTAAATATGAGAGGATTGGGCAAAAAAAACCATGAGTTAAGGACCTAAATTGAATGTTTTGCTCAAGAATCATAAGATAAAAAATTAACCCACTAAATGAATCATGAGTTATTGCCATAGGAGCATGTTGAAGACCTTAAGCGATAAGAATAAAATAACCAAACTTTCTCTACTACGAGCTTATGATAATTCATGGTCTAAATGAACTCCAAATAACTTGAATTTTTTTTTTTTTTTAGACTTATTCATGGTGTCCTTGTAATGTTTCATGGTCTAAAGAACCTCAAATGATTGGAAGCTTAACGTGAGACTTAGTAATAAGAATATAAATGATTGTGTTTGTTTCATGGTCATAGAAGCATGTTCGGGGTGCAAACCATGATCAAGGTGGAAAATGACAAAAATGCCTCTAATGGATCTTTAGGAGGATTTATGGCTCTAATGATCTCCAAACATGATGATATTGAGATTTATACACTACAGATGGCACAGTTAATCTTGGATGTCTAATGATATCATACGCTGTCATTCTTGATGTATGGAGGTTTTCTAGGTTCTTAAGGGTGCTAGGAGGTTTTAAATTGTCTCTTGTTTCTAGGACATATAGGACTAGCTCATTGAGCTATTCCATACTCTAGGTGCATATAGGTCTAAGCCTTTGATCGTTGCTCACGATCCTAGGATGTAGGGTCTACTAGAAACATACTGACCTAGATCAACATGTAAGTCGCTCTAGCTGTAGTGCCCTAAACTTAACTCAGTTCTCTTGTGCATGCTTTGCTAGGGAAGTTATCCTATTGTTTGCTACCTAGAGAATGTTATACATATTCTAAATACTTGTGCAAGCTTGTTAAGGAGATATCATATTAATCACCTAAAGCACTGAAAACATAAACTACAATATTCATGCAAACAAACAAGGTTAATAGGGAGATAACATCAATCAATAGTCCGGAGCATAGATCACAAAATTCCATTCTCCTTTCTAACACAATAGAAAATCATATAAAAACATCAATCACAAATCTCATAATAGGGGTGTTTTGGTAATTTCTTACCTTTTGTGTATCATACTTGTCCATATTGCCCAACTCATAAATAAGATCAGCATGCATCTCATAACCTCATTCTAGGAGCACAATGGTAAGTTTTCATAGCATATTGATAATGCATTCTCATCTAAAATTGTCCATTTAAAGTCTTAAACATGCCTACTCTAACCATCTCATAATGTCTTAGTGATCCCTACAAGTATTGCTTGCCTAAAGTTTGCGTGCCTATCGGGATGAAGCATGCCCTTTCGAGCGAGCTTTTCAAGATGTTAGAGTTTTACATCTTCTGAAATTTCTTTTTGTAGGTCCTCACTCAAGTCAAAATAGGGTTAGTATTGAGATCAAAGCGAAAAACAGTCAAACGAAAGTCAAATAGGGCAAAAAGCAACCTACACACGCACTTTCACGCGTCAGGAGGGCTCCCCACTCGCGCCTGAAGGGTGGGAGACAAGCGCCCTTAGTGTGACACGTGGCAGCCTTTAATTCATGCATTCGGCTCTCCGGGATTGCGTTTATATTTATTCCTTATTCCTTATCTTTTTCTTTCTTCATCCATAATAATCTGATTAGGGCACTAACAGAATCCTCACTCGAAACGAGGGGCCAGAATGACCATTTTGCCCATTGATTGACTTTAACCGACTTTTTTTCTTCTAATATTTCATTCTTTGTATCTTTTTTATTGAGTTTCTAGGTTTTTTCTAAGCATTTTTTCTTCATTCCCATCTTCAAATTCAGCCTTTTAAGATTGCCAAAGTTCAAAACTTAGAATAAAAAAATAAATATTTAATATGCCGTAATTAAGAAGAGAGTGAAGAAATTTCTTTTTATTAGTTAAATAGAGGGAATTATTTTCTCAGTCCTCAACCCTACCAATTAAAAGTATTAAATCATGTTTTTTTCTTAGGAAATATTATTAGATTTATTATAATGTTTTACACTTGAAAATTATCTATTAAAAATTATTTGAGATGAATATATATATTTTAAAAAATATATTAAAATGCAAAAATTCCTCTCTAGTGCTTGCAAAAATAAATTGAGAATTTCGTGGGAATAAGGATTGAATTTCTCGTCCGTCCCACCCCATGAAAATTAAAAGCATTTAAATTATTTTATCGTAACAATATATATTTTTTCCTTTTATAAACCAATCACATTATTGTTTAATTTGTTTTTTAAGAAATTAATTTTAATATATACTAAAAAAAAATGGAATAACACGTATATTAGAAGAGTAGAAAAATAAACCGTGGAAAAGAAAGGGAAACAAGAAAGAGGGGTAACAATAGGGATTAGAAAATCGGTCTGCTAAACGACACCGTTTCTGAACTCCAAGCTGGCATTCGGTCAGTTCCGCAATTGCATATAAATTGCAAATCCCAAATGCGAGTAGAAAAGAAGGAAAAGAAATGTTCGTCATCATTTCCAAATTTCTCCTGTCACCTGCTTCTTCTAGGAATTAGGGTCGAATTCTTTGCGAGTCTCATCGAATTCGTCCTGTTTCCGTTTGATTTCAATTCTCAGCAACAGATTTATGATTTTATTGATTTAAGCTGTTGGAATTGGTGCGCCTTAATTTGGCTAGGCTAGGGCTTGTTGCTCCCGGATCTGCGGGAATTCAATGGCGGATCAGGAGGAGGAGGACCTCCGGACAGCTCTACGGATGAGCATGCAGCAGCTCTCTCCGCCGGAACCCAAACGTAGCAAGCCTAGGGATTCCCCAGTCGGAGCTCCGACTTTCTCATCGGAGGAGTCATCGGAAGTGAAGACCCGGAGGATGCAGCGGGAGCTTATGGCTGCTGCTGCTGAGAAGCGAATGTTGGCCTCTAAAAGCTATTCTGAAGCAGTTGGCTCTGCATCGAAGTCGGTGAAGAAAGAGAAGGAGTTCAGTGTGAAGGACGTGAATTTGGGGAAAAAAATGTTGGAAAGTGAAGCGAACCAGTTGTTTTCAATGGTGTTCGGGGACGAGGTTTCCAAAGAAATACTTGCGCAATGGAGCAATCAGGGCATAAGGT